GTCCTGACTATCTAAAGTCTCTGGATGTTGTAGGACTGTCTTGGCTGACACGTCTCTGCAACATCGCGTGGCGATCGGGGGCGGTGCCAATGGAGTGGCAGACCGGGGTGGTGGTTCCTCTCTACAAGAAGGGGGACCGGAGGGTGTGTTCCAATTATCGTGGGATCACACTCCTCAGCCTCCCTGGTAAGGTTTACTCCAAGGTACTGGAGAGGAGGTTACGGCCGATGGTCGAATCTCGGATTCAGGAGGAGCAGTGTGGTTTTCGTCCCGGTCGCGGAACACTGGACCAGCTCTACACTCTCCATCGGATACTCGAGGGTTCATGGGAGTTCGCCCAACCTGTCCACATGTGCTTTGTGGATTTGGAGAAGGCGTTCGACCGTGTTCCCCGGGGTGTCCTTTGGGGGGTCCTCCGTGAGTACGGGGTCCGGGGTCCTCTGCTGAGGGCCGTCCGGTCCCTGTATGACCGGAGCCAGAGCTGCGTGCGCATTGCCGGCAGTAAGTCAGACCTGTTCCCTGTGCACGTTGGCCTCCGCCAGGGCTGCCCTTTGTCACCGGTTCTGTTCACTGTATTCATGGACAGAATTTCTAGGCGCAGCCAAGGGTCGGAGGGGGTCCGGTTCGGGGACCACAGGATTTCATCTCTGCTGTTTGCAGACGATGTTGTCCTGTTGGCTCCAACGAATCAGGACCTACAACATGCACTGGGACGGTTTGCAGCCGAGTGTGAAGCGGCTGGGATGAGAATCAGCACCTCCAAATCTGAGGCCATGGTGCTCGACCGGAAAAAGGTGCCCTGCCATCTCCGGGTGGGTGGAGAGGCCCTTCCTCAAGTGGAGGAGTTCAAGTATCTTGGGGTCTTGTTCACGAGTGAGGGAAGGATGGAGCGTGAGATTGACGGGCGGATCGGTGCAGCGTGCGCAGTGATGCGGTCGCTGTATCGGACCGTTGTGGTGAAGAGGGAGCTGAGCCGAAAGGCAAAGCTCTCAATTTACCGGTCAATCTTCGTTCCCTCCCTCACCTATGGTCATGAGCTTTGGGTAATGACCGAAAGAACAAGATCGCGGATACAAGCGGTCGAAATGAGCTTCCTCCGCAGAGTGGCTGGGCGCTCCCTTAGAGATAGGGTGAGGAGCTCAGTCACACGGGAGGAGCTCGGAGTAGAGCCGCTGCTACTCCACGTCGAGAGGAACCAGTTGAGGTGGCTCGGGCATCTGTTCCGGATGCCTCCTGGACGCCTCCCTGGGGAGGTGTTCCGGGCACGTCCCACCGGGAGGAGGCCCCGGGGAAGACCCAGGACACGCTGGAGGGACTATGTCTCTCAGCTGGCCTGGGAACGCCTTGGGGTCTCCCCGGACGAGCTGGAGGAGGTGTGTGTGGATAGGGAAGTCTGGGCGTCTCTGCTTAGACTGCTGCCCCCGCGACCCGGCAACGGATGAAGCGGAAGAAAATGGATGGATGGATGGCATTACACTGTTATTATCTACAGTCGTCATACTGTTATTATCTACAGTCATAACACTGTTATTATCTACAGTCATACTGTTATTATCTACAGTCATAATACTGTTATTATCTACTGTAATAACACTGTTATTATCTACAGTCATAATACTGCTATCATCTACAGTCATAATACTGTTATTATCTACAGTCATAACACTGTTATTATCTACAGTAATAATACTGTTATTATCTACAGTCATAATACTGTTATAAAGCCAAACCACTGTTATTATCTACAGTCATAACTCTGTTATTATCTACAGTCATAACACTGTTGTTATCTACAGTCAAAACACTGTTATTATCTACAGTCATACTACTGTGATTATCTACAGTCATACTACTGTTATTATCTACAGTCAAACTACTGTTATTATCTACAGTCATAATACTGTTATTATCTACAGTCATAATACTGTTATACAGCCAAAACACTGTTGTTATCTACAGTCATAGCACTGTTATTATCTACAGTCAAAACACTGTTATTATCTACAGTCATAATACTGTTATTATCTACAGTCATAATACCGTTATTATCTACAGTCATAATACTGTTATTATCTACAATCATAACTCTGTTATTATCTACAGTCATACTACTGTTATTATCTACAGTCATAATACTGTTATTATCTACAATCATAACTCTGTTATTATCTACAGTCATACTACTGTTATTATCTACAATCATAACTCTGTTATTATCTACAGTCATACTACTGTTATTATCTACAGTCATACTAATGTTATTATCTACAGTCGTAATACTGTTATTTTCTACAGTCATAACACTGTTATTATCTACAGTCGTAATACTGTTATTATCTACAGTCATTACACTGTTATTATCTACAGTCATAACACTGTTATTATCTACAGTCATACTGTTATTATCTACAGTCATAACACTGTTATTATCTACAGTCATACTGTTATTATCTACAGTCATAATACTGTTATTATCTACAGTCATAACACTGTTATTATCTACAGTCATAATACTGCTATCATCTACAGTCATAATACTGTTATTATCTACAGTCATAATACTGTTATTATCTACAGTCATAATACTGTTATTATCTACAATCATAACTCTGTTATTATCTACAGTCATACTACTGTTATTATCTACAGTCATAATACTGTTATTATCTACAATCATAACTCTGTTATTATCTACAGTCATACTACTGTTATTATCTACAGTCATACTACTGTTATTATCTACAGTCGTAATACTGTTATTATCTACAGTCATAACACTGTTATTATCTACAGTCGTAATACTGTTATTATCTACAGTCATTACACTGTTATTATCTACAGTCATAACACTGTTATTATCTACAGTCATACTGTTATTATCTACAGTCATAACACTGTTATTATCTACAGTCATACTGTTATTATCTACAGTCATAATACTGTTATTATCTACAGTCATAACACTGTTATTATCTACAGTCATAATACTGCTATCATCTACAGTCATAATACTGTTATTATCTACAGTCATAACACTGTTATTATCTACAGTAATAATACTGTTATTATCTACAGTCATAATACTGTTATAAAGCCAAACCACTGTTATTATCTACAGTCATAACACTGTTATTATCTACAGTCAAAACACTGTTATTATCTACAGTCATACTACTGTTATTATCTACAGTCATAATACTGTTATTATCTACAGTCATAACACTGTTATTAACTACAGTCATAATACTGCTATCATCTACAGTCATAATACTGTTATTATCTACAGTCATAATACTGTTATAAAGCCAAACCACTGTTATTATCTACAGTCATAACTCTGTTATTATCTACAGTCATAACACTGTTATTATCTACAGTCAAAACACTGTTATTATCTACAGTCATACTACTGTTATTATCTACAGTCATAATACTGTTATTATCTACAGTCATAACACTGTTATTATCTACAGTAATAATACTGTTATTATCTACAGTCATAATACTGTTATGAAGCCAAACCACTGTTATTATCTACAGTCATAACTCTGTTATTATCTACAGTCATAACACTGTTATTATCTACAGTCAAAACACTGTTGTTATTATCTACAGTCATACTACTGTTATTATCTACAGTCATAATACTGTTATTATCTACAGTCATAATACTGTTATTATCTACAGTCATACTGAAATTATCTACAGTCATAATACTGTTATACAGCCAAAACACTGTTATTATCTACAGTCATAGCACTGTTATTATCTACAGTCATAATACTGTTATTATCTACAACCATAATACTGTTATTATCTACAGTCATAATACAGTTATTATCTACAGTCATAACACTGCTATTATCTACAGTCATAGCACTGTTATTATCTACAGTCATAACACTGTTATTATCTACAGTCATACTGTTATTATCTACAGTCATGACACTGTTATTATCTACAGTCATAACACTGTTATATCTACAGTCATACTGTTATTATCTACAGTCATGACACTGTTATTATCTACAGTCATAATACTATTATTCTCTACAGTCATAATACTGTTATTATCTACAGTTATAATACTGTTATTATCTACAGTTATACTACTGTTATTATCTACAGTCATAATACTGTTATTATCTACAGTCATACTGTTATTATCTGAAGTCATAATACTGTTATTATCTACAGTCATACTACTGTTATTATCTACAGTCATAATACTGTTATTATCTACAGTCATAATACTGTTATTATCTACAGTCATACTGTTATTATCTACAGTCATACTGTTATTATCTACAGTCATACTGTTATTATCTACAGTCATAACACTGTTATTATCTACAGTCATAATACTGTTATTATCTACAGTCATAATACTGTTATTATCTACAGTCATAATACTGTTATTATCTATAGTCATAATACTGTTATTATGTACAGTCATAATACTGTTATTATCTACAGTCATAATACTGTTATTATCTACAGTCATAATACTGTTATTATCTACAGTCATAATACTGTTATTATGTACAGTCATAACACTGTTATTATCTACAGTCATAACACTGTTATTATCTACAGTCATAATACTGTTATTATGTACAGTCATAACACTGTTATTATCTACAGTCATAACACTGTTATTATCTACAGCCATAACACTGTTATTGTCTACAGCCATAACACTGTTATTATCTAAAGCCATAACACTGTTATTATCTACAGTCATAATACTGTTATTATCTACAGTCATACTGTTATTATCTACATGTGTGCGAAATCAAATATTAGAGTCTGGAAAACAAACAGCAACAAGTAAAGCTGTCCTGTCCAGAGAGACCGGAAAGAGACCAGAGAGACCAGAGAGAGACCAGAGAGACAGATTCAGTATTTCCACATTTAAGACTTCTTTCAGATGAGTTTTTCTTCTTATTTCTAACAGAACAAACACTTATGAGTTTCTGGTTCAAACGACTTAAACTCACATCCGTAAAAGGCTCGAGAGATGATCTGGTACTTCATGGTGTCGCAGAGAAGCTTCAGTGGAGCTCTGACACCAGAAACATAGTCATATAAATGTGTAATAGCTGCGATATGTGTTTGAAGTGTGGCACCTCTCGTGGTTGCAGCCGTTGGGGAGAGAGCTGTCTGAGGAGCCGTTCTGGGAGCAGGAGGAGCAGGAGGACTCTCTCTGGGACGGCTGCCACATGGTCACGCCCTGGTCCATCAGCTCCAGGGCCACTGGGAGAAAGACAGGTACTTTTGGAATACGGAAGGAACGTGGTCAGTCTGAGGGGGCGTGGTCATTCTGAGGGGGAGTGGTCAGTCTGAGGGAGCGTGGTCAGTCTGAGGGGGCGTGGTCAGTCTGAGGGGGCGTGGTCAGTTAGAGGGGGAGTGGTCAGTCTGAGGGAGCGTGGTCAGTCTGAGGGGGCGTGGTCAGTCAGAGGGGGCGTGGTCAGAGAAAGACAAGAGGGAGACAGACGAGACGGAGGCAGACGAGACAGAGGCAGACGAGACAGAGATAGACGAGACGGAGACAGAGACAGATGAGACAGAGACAGACGAGACGGAGACAGACAGAGACAGACGAGACAGAGACAGGCAAGACAGAGACAGACAAGACGGAGACAGAAAAGACAGAGACAGGCAGAGACAGACGAGACAGAGACAGATGAGACAGAGACAGATGAGACAGAGACAGGCGAGACAGAGACAGACGAGACAGAGACAGACAAGACGGAGACAGACAGAGACAGACGAGACAGAGACAGACGAGACAGAGATAGACGAGACGGAGACAGGTGAGACAGAGACAGATGAGACAGAGACAGGCAAGACAGAGACAGACGAGACAGAGACAGACAGACGAGACAGAGACAGACGAGACAGAGACAGATGAGACAGAGACAGGCGAGACAGAGACAGACGAGACAGAGACAGACGAGACAGAGACAGATGAGACAGACGAGACAGAGACAGACAAGACAGACGAGACAGAGACAGACGAGACAGAGACAGACAAGACGGAGACAGACAGAGACAGGCAAGACAGAGACAGAGACAGACGAGACAGAGACAGATGAGACAGACGAGACAGAGATAGACAAGACAGACGAGACAGAGACAGACGAGACAGAGACAGACAAGACGGAGACAGACAGAGACAGGCAAGACAGAGACAGAGACAGACGAGATAGAGACTTACTGAGCTCCATCTGATTCCCCGGGAATAGGATCCGGAAAACGTAATCCGTGGCCTCGTCGTCCTCTTTGTCCGACACCGAGTCACAGGAGCTGTGGGGACTCCTCTTCCGGAGTTTGGGGAAAACCTTTCCCTGAAACAGAACATTGAGCTGTAAAACCTGCTCCTGTTGATGTATACTGATGCCTATAACCCTATTGTTGATGTATACTGATGCCTATAAACCTATTGTTGATGTTTACTGATGCCTCTAACCCTATTGTTGATGTATACTGAGGTTTCTAACCCTAATTCATTATCATTATCATTAATAAACACAATATTTTTTTACTGTTACCCTGTTATCTGCTCCACCTGTGTGTCTCTGTCTTGTGTCTATGTTCCCAGCTTCAGTCCTGGGTCTACATCGTGAGTCCTGGATCTACAGCCTCAGTCCTGGGTCTACATCGTCAGTCCTGGGTCTACAGCCTCAGTCCTGGATCTACAGCCTCAGTCCTGGATCTACAGCCTCAGTCCTGGATCTACAGCCTCAGTCCTGGATCTACAGCCTCAGTCCTGGATCTACAGCCTCAGTCCTGGGTCTACAGCCTCAGTCCTGGGTCCACAGCCTCAGTCCTGGAGACCGTGTTAGACTCAGAGACACAGACCTTTCCCCTCTGGTTCCACAGGGGGGGGTCCAGCTGTCCATGAGGCAGCAGTCCGGTCTCTAAACAGGTGAGGAACTGCAGTAAGTGTCCTCCTTTGGGGAAGTGCAGGGGGGGCTTCTGGATCCCGTCCTGGCTCACCAACACCACAGTGCCCCCGCTGTTCACTGAGGGGACATCACAGAAAGCATAAGGATATGTCACATCACAGCTAATTTACACAGTAGGCGTTAACAGCACATAAGTGTTGACTGTGCGCATATTCGCGTAACATTACATGGCCGTACACTGGCCGTGGGCGCAGATATGCGTGTAACGCCTCCTGTGTAAATTAGCAGTCACACACAGAGACAGAGACACAGACAGAGTGACACAAAGACACAGATACAGAGACAGAGAAGAGGTGGCTACTGTACCTCTCTGATGGCAGTGCAGATACACAATCTCCTCCAGCCGGATGGTCATGGCGAAGTCCCAGTACACACTGCAAGAGGAGGAGAGACTCAGGCCACGCCCACAACAAGGAAAAACACTGGCTCAGTAAATGTTTACTCAGTAAATGTTCGTCTTCATATGAATGACACCAACAGTAAAAGTAATAGCTCCTCTCCTTCTCCCCCTCACTTTCCCCTCACTTTCTCCTCTATAATCCTATTGTTGATGTATACTGGGCCTATAACCTGGTAAACTCCAATCCTTCTCCCCACTTTCTCCCCTATAACCCTCTCCCACAACCTTCAAAAAAATAAAAACTTTAAAATGCTTGTTTTGTATGGATCTCTATGCTCTCTCTCTGGTCTCTCTACGGTCTTTCTCCGGTTTCTCTCTGGTCTCTCTCCGGTCTCTCTCCGGTCTCTCGCCGGTCTCTCTCTCTCTGGTCTCTCTCTGGTCTCTCACTGGTCTCTCTCTGATCTCTCTCTGATCTCTCTGTGGTCTCTCTCTGATCTCTCTCTGATCTCTCTGTGGTCTCTCTCTGGTCTCTCTCTGGTCTCTCTGTGGTCTCTCTCTGGTCTCTCTCTAGTCTCAGACCTTTTCTCTGAGTCCAATTCTGCCACGTTTCCATTCATCAGTTGGTTCGGGGTCCATTTCAGAGTCATGAGCTCCGCAGTCTGGTGCAGAGACAGGTATCCTGGGATAGCCTCCATGTCATCCCTCTGTCAAAGACAAATATATTTAAGAATATAAATATATTTAAATAACTAGTGCTAGGAACAGATCCTGCACAGAACCCTCAAGCTCCCGCAGAGGCTGAACATCAAATCCCAGTCACGCAGCAGACTCACCGGTTGCACCAGGACATTGTTCTTTCCGAACAGTAGAGTGGTCCTGGAGTTCTGATGGAGCGACTCCACGTACTCTCTGACCCACGTGAGCGGCCGGTCGTCCATGCTGCCACTGGACTGCCGCTTCTGGATCTAGTAAACCAGAGCAACAGAGAGTTCACATACACATTCACTGTTTAGACGTTTAACTGTGTGTGCTTTAACAATCAGCAAGTGTCTGTGTGATTTAACAAAGTCATGACAGAAATGAAGGCCCCTCTCTACAGGGTTAGCTCAGTCACTCAAACAGGGGTGTCTGAACCTTTTGGTAAATGGCCCACCTCAGGTCAGCAGACACGTTCTTACATTAATTCCATACACATTGGTGTCAAACTACTGTAGCCACAGCTGCCCTGGGGCACACTGACAGAAGTGAGGCAACCAGTCTGTGCCACCACCACCACCACCACCAACCACTCACACACACACACAAGACTCATTCTCAATAAGTCAGACTTAACCACATCTAAAGCAGACACACACAGTTGTCACAGTCTGAGTCTCAGTACACACCAGAGCCGGGCGTCTGGACGGAGAGTCCTGTCGACTGTGTCCGCTGTGGATGCGATGTCTCTGCACCAGTTCGTCTGCAGAGGGGTCCGTCCAGTAGTGGTCAGAGGTCTTCACTTTAGTGTACTCCAGAGCACAGGGTCCCACTGAGACACACACATTAGCTTTACTTTACCACTCTGCGACACACATACATGTACACACACACAAACAGACACACACACTCACAGAGACACACACATTACCTTTACTTTACCACACTGCGACACACATACATGTATACACACACACACACACACACAGAGACACACACATTATCTTTACTTTACCACACTGCGACAGACATACATGTACCCACAGACACACACTCACTGAGACACACACATTATCTTTACTTTACCACACTGCGACACACATACATGTACACACAGACACACACTCACTGAGACACACACATTATCTTTACTTTATCTGTACCACACAGAGTTGGACCAGAGTGTGTCCTGTTCGTACCCAAGAGAGAGGCCAGGATCGGTCCATCCACTGGGTCCATCAGCATGGCTTCTTTCTCATAATAAGTGCTGCAAGAAGAAGGTACTAATAAGTGTGTGCGTGTGTGCGTGTGTGTGTGCGTGTTAGTGTGTGTGTTATTACAGTAGTACCTGCAGTTCTCCACCAGGTACAGAACTATCTTGTCCAGGCTCTTCTCCATCAGCGCCGTCCGGATCCACAGATATCTCCGAGCCTGAGGAGGGACACTTCCTGGTCCTGAGCTGCGGCTGCGATCGTTACTGAGACAGCTGTTCTGTTTGCTGCACACAACAGAAACACAATCCAGACGTGTGAGGTGTGTGCTGGTGCTGGACCATGTGGACATCACGGTGAGAATGAGGTCTCTGGTCTGATGTGGACTCACTTGTTGTCGAGGAGCTGCTCTAACTCCTGGACCTTGTTGCAGAGATGTTCAGCAGGAGCAAAGTTCTTGGCCACTTTCATAAAGAGCGCCGCTGCTTTATTACTACACAAGAGACCAGCGATGCGACGCTTCAGACCATGAAGCACACAGGCCTCCACCACCGCTGCAAACACACACACCATCACACTGGCCTCCTGCTGGGACTCTGAGGAGCACAGGGACTGGCCTCCTGCTGGGACTCTGAGGAGCACAGGGACTGGCCTCCTGCTGGGACTCTGAGGAGCACAGGGACTGGCCTCCTGCTGGGACTCTGATGTCTCTCTCTAGTCTCCCTCTGGTCTCTCTCTGGTCTCCCTCTGCTCTCGCTGGTCTCTCTCCGCTCTTTCTGGCCTCTCTCTGGTCTCTCTCTGATATCTCTCTGGCCTCTCCCTGGTCTCTCTCTGGTCTCCCTCTGCTCTCTGTCCGGCCTCTCTCGGGCCTCTCTCTGATCTCTCTCTGGCCTCTCCCTGGTCTCCCTCTGTTCTCCCTCTGGTCTCCCTCTGGTCTCTCTCTGGTCTCTCTCTGGTCTCTCTCTGGCCTCTCTCTGGCCTCTCTCTGGCCTCTCTCTGGTCTCTCTCTGATATCTCTCTGGCCTCTCCCTGGTCTCTCTCTGGTCTCCCTCTGCTCTCTGTCTGGCCTCTCTCGGGCCTCTCTCTGATCTCTCTCTGGCCTCTCCCTGGTCTCCCTCTGTTCTCCCTCTGGTCTCCCTCTGGTCTCTCTCTGGTCTCTCTCTGGCCTCTCTCTGGCCTCTCCCTGGTCTCCCTCTGGTCTCCCTCTGCTCTCTGTCTGGCCTCTCTCGGGCCTCTCTCTGATCTCTCTCTGGCCTCTCCCTGGTCTCCCTCTGTTCTCCCTCTGGTCTCCCTCTGCTCTCTCTCTAGTGTCCCTCTGCTCTCTCTCTGGTCTCCCACTGGTCTCCCTCTGCTCTCTCTCTGGTCTCTCTCTGGTCTCCCTCTGGTCTCCCTCTGCTCTCTCTCTGGCCTCTCTCTGATCTCTTTATGGTCTCTCTCTATAGTCTCTCTTCATCTAGTCTCTCTACTAAACTATACAACATGTGGTAAAATATATGTTTTCTGTTTTGCGGCAACAACTGAAGGATTGTATCTTCCCCTTTTTCATGCACTGATTATTTATTTATAATTTATTTTCTTGTTTTGTGAAGCACATTGAGTGTATGAACTGTGCCATACAAATAAACCTGCCTTCCCTAGAGATGCATGCATGAATTATTAACAATATGTAAAAACGGTTGGAGAATCCTGTTATATTTACCACAGAAGGAGATGATGTGGCTGCTGTCTGCGTGCACAAACTTCCTCGTTACCGCTTCTTCCATGATCTGTTTCACCTACACAAACACACACACACATATTTATAAATGTACATATATTACAATACTGCTGCATGAGTCACTGCACAGCCCCAATGGTCGAGTAAACGCTACGACAACAGAGAAAACGAAGCAGCTTCTTCCTCTTTTCTTTCTGTTTTCTTTCACAGTTGAATGTATGGCCTCAGTGCTGCTCTGTGGTGAGTCACAGCAGAGAGCCAAGACACTGCTTAATCAGGAGTGAATAAAACATATCCTGGAGGTTGGAGGACCCCCAGCCTCAGGCGGCTGTGACAGGTCCAAATCCCCAAACGCAGCTGTATATATGTGAATTTATTTGACTGGCACAAGTGTACAGCATCAACATACAGTAAGAAAGCATTTAAAGCAGAGTTACAACACTGTTAAAAACAAGCTACACACACACACACACACACACACACACATACACACATGCCAATATGTGGCCATGTTAGCATGCAAAAATCAGATCCTGACAGACCTCCGAGGATAAGCAGGGCAGGGCCTGGTTAGTGCTGTGATGGGAGACCTCTAGGAACACCAGGTGCCACAGTGGGGCAGCTGTAAAGTGCCAAACTGTGGTTGTGTCCTTAGGCAAGACACTTCCCCCACATTAGAATGAGTCTGGTGAGTGAGTGAACGGTTGGTGGTGGTGGGAGGGGCTGATGGAATACACTGGCTGCCTTGCTGCTGTCAGTGTGCCCCAGGGCAGCTGTGGCTACAGTAGTAGTTTATCACCATGTGTTTGGTGTAAATGAATTATGATGTGAAGAGACTTTGAGCGTCCAAAAAAGCACAAAAACCGGATGCATTATTATTAAACTGCTGTTCTATAGTATGCTTTCATGGTCATGATAATAACAATGAAATAAATATCGGAAAATAATAATAATTATAATAACAATACTAACGATAATGATGTAATTTCAGAATGCCCATTGAAGGTCTCTTTATACTTTATTTAACCTGCCACATATGGATGCACAATAAAACTCTTATGAAGCATTCTATAAGAAGTATTTAGAGCTTAAAAAGCATAGAAGTAATTATCTGCATGTGTTGTGTGCTTCTGATTTGCTTTGACCACTAATGTGCGCTGCAACACTGGCATTTCCCCGCTGTGGGCCGAATACAAAGGTATAATACTAATGATAATGATAATAATGATAGAACATATTTATACGCTAACCCCGTTCTGAGCCTAGAATGATCACAATCTTCATCACCACCGACACTGTCATCATCAGCACCATCCCCGTCACCGTGAGCGTCATCATGTGACGCCAGGAGACGACAGCAGAAACATATCAAAACACCAGAGGAGCACTGAGACGAGCCAAGCCAAACCCACCCACTCTTAGCGCCACATTCTCACCACATCACCATCACCTCAGGGTTTAGTCCGGGATGTGCGGGTGCGCGCGTTTATGCAACAAACCCTGTACTCTTCTGCACACGCGCACACGCACACGCACACGCATTCATCAACAATGATGAAATTAGGCATAAACATCGCACCTCTTTCTTCACGTTACGCAGCAGTTTCTGACGCGTCTCGGCTTCTGATAACAGACGGAAACATTACAATAATAATAATAATAATAATAACAATAATAATAATAATTACAGATGTCTGTCTGTAGGAGGATGGCGTCCTCCAGACAGATGCGTCCTCACCTCCCATGGCGAACGCTGTAATGAATGTGTGATTGAAGGAAGAATGATGCAGTGAGAGCTCCGGAGAGAAGCAGATGTGAGCGCAGCTCTGGCGACAACATTCAATGTGTCTGATATCTGCGCGAGTCACCAACTCCCATTTAAAGACACAGTGCCAGGATTTACCAGGACAAGGTGAGAAGCCCTGTTTCCACCAGCCCTACTCTGCTCTCACTCTGTAATGATAATAATGTATCGCTTTTATACAGTGACACTCAGAGAGGCCGCACATCATAATGGTGATAAACTACTACTGTAGCCACAGTTGCCCTGGGGCACACTGACATAAGCGAGACAACCAGTCTGCGCCATCGGCCCCTCCCACCACCACCAACCATTCGCAACCACACCATCGTCCTGTTTCCAGGTGGACAAGACGATAATGAGACTGTTTTACAAATCTAGTGTTGAGTCAGTTTTAACATTTTCCATGTTGAGTTGGTTTGGAAACCTAAATGTCAAAGGGAAAAAGTCACTCAGCAGAATAGTTAACCTGAATAGTTAACCTGAGTGGTAAGATTTTGGGAGCTCCTCAGACTCCACTTTCTGAGCTGTTCACTGGTCAGGTGACAAGGAAGGCTCTGAGGATTCTGGGTAATGAGGCTCACCCTCTTCATGAAGAGTTCAGTTACCTGCCGTCTGGTTCCAGACTCGGAGCAATATAAACACTCTTTTGTACCTGCAGCGATCTCTACACTAAACTCAAACCAGAGACAGAGGAAATAGGGGTTGAAATTGTTGTATTCTTTTTTATCCTGTTTTTAAACTGCCATTGACTTGACTGGAAGACTGTATGGACACCTTGTTAGTCTGAATGTATGGGGAAATTGTTTATGCTATGTCTTTTTCTTTGTATGTGTCCCTGTGCTGTGAACCAAATTGCCCCATCGGGGACATGAAATAATGTGAAGTGTCATTCTATTGCGACTGAAGTGTCTTGCCTAAGAACACAACCACAGTTTGGCACTTCCCAGCCACGGCCGCCCCACTGTGGCACCTGGTCTCCCATCTCAGTATTAACCAGGCCCTGCCTTGCTTAGCTTTAGAAGTTTGACAGGATCTGACTTTCACTTGCAGTGTGACTTTTTCTGTATGTTATTTCAGTGTTATTATTTTAATTAAATTATCTTTTATTTGTGAAACATGAGGAAAAAAAAAAAATGGTCCTTGTCTGGTCCTGGTCCTGGACTGGTTCTTGTCTGGTCCTGGACTGGTTCTTGACTGGTCCTGGTCTGGTCTGGTCTTGGTCCTGGACTGATTCTTGTCTGGTCCTGGACTGTGTCAGTTCGTTTTTCCACCAAAGAAGAGAAAAGTGCCTGTTACCATAGCAACACACTGTTTACAAATAAACATTTGTTTTTTAAACTCTATTCACTTGAATAAAGTGAATAAAGGTAACCCACCTGATTAATTACTATCTTTTTAATAAATGTGGTGAAAAACTAAACATTTTTGGGGGAATTTCTCAGAATTCCATTGATTTGAATCTGAGCAAAATGTCTGTTTCAGAATCCTGTGTTCTCGACCTGAAGCTGATCTAAAATGTATTCACATAACTAGAAGCAAAAACATAAAACCAAACTGTTCTGAGAGCGTGTCAAACAGTGTGGTCTGTAGTTTGAAAGTCAGGTCCCCCAGCTTTAAATGAAATTATCCCACCACCAGGGGGCGCCAATACTTGAAAGTTCCCCCAGTATGTGGTTCTATAACCCTACACCTGGCTTTAACCTGTGCAGATTAAAACCACTGTGTGCTATAGTACATGTGCATCAAAGTCCTCGGTGAATAAATGTAATAAAACTGATTTTTCCCTCATTCTTAATCACAAATCACTGTTTAGCAAAGATTACGTAGAAGGAAGGAAGCAGCCGCGGTCTGTGCTGTGCTTTGTGTGTGTCTCGGTTTATCCCGCTGTGTCCTGCTCCAGCCCGGGTTTCCACCGTCATTCTCGGTCCTACACAGACCAGTTCACCGGGTTTTTTCTGCGGACAGATCGACGGGAGGGATGTCAAAGCGACTGCGGAGTAGCTCGGTCTGCGCGGACTGCAGCGCTGCGGGTAGGACAAGCTAACGTTAGCATCGAAGCTAACCCTCACCCTTTCCTCACAAACACCACATCTGCGGCTGTAAACACATGCACACGCCTCCAAACCTCACTATTCTGCACTAACATCATATTTAGGGGTTGATATTTTTGCAGTGGGATAAATGGCATGTTTTTGTTTATCTGTGTGTGATGTATTTGTTTTTGTTTCGTTCCTGTCTGGTCTTTTTCATGTCTATGGACCATCCGAGTCTGGTATAAAACTTAATATTTAGCTAATCTAGTGCATGGCAAACACATTTATATAGATTAAAATGTATGGATCCCCGTAGGATAAAATCTGGTGTCCAGTAGCAGCAGACACATATTCATCCAACTACAGTCAAAACAAAATAAAAAAATAAAATAATAATTAAATAATAAAAATAAAATAATAATAATAATAAAAATATGATAATCTAAAATATATCAAACAATAGCATTCAAGTGCAAATATAAACATTAAATTTATCTGATTATATTAGGATTATTTCTGATTATATTAGTCATATATCTAATGTTACCAATGTTGCCTAGAATTTTTAGTGGTCTTTTTTGGTCTTTTTAAGTCTATGGACCACCTGAGTCTGTTATAAAACGTATTAATATTAAGCTAATCTAGTGTATGATATATATAGATGAAAATGTATTGATCCCCGTTGGATAAATCCAGGTGTCCAGTAGCAGCAGAATATCCATCCAACTACAATAAACATGAAATATATCTGATTATATTTGGCTTGCATTTGATTATATTAGTCATATATCTAATTTTTACAGTTTATGTTAAAGATAAATGTCATTTATGTGTTATAGTCTATTTAAAACCATAACATCCGACAGACCCACTTTATTAAACAGGGGAGGGAAGCTTCAAAGTAAAAACCAATCTGACAAGGCATAAAAATTATAAGTAGTCAGAGTACATTAAAAAGAGTGAAGATGCAATCCTTCAGTTGTTGCAGAAACTGAACCGTTTTTAACCTGGATTTAATCAGAAAAGAAGCCTGTCTCACATTCTCAGGATGACTGTTCCAGGTTTCAGTTGCAGAAACCTGAAACACTGCCTCCCTGTGTTTAGTCCTGACTCTGGACCATAGGCTTTTAGGTTTTTAGAGTAGTAACCAGTAAATAAATATAAGTTAATGGTGGATCACTTTTATATCATTAACTTGTGATAATACGGGTCATGGATTCGGATCGAAGCGGATCGTTTCGGATCGAAGCGTCTTTGAGTGTCCAAAAAAGCGCTATATAAGTTTGATGCATTATTATTATTATTATTATTATCTTGGTTGGAGCAGGGCCTTTCTGAGTGGAGTTTGCATGTTCTCCCAGTGTCTACTCCGGTTTTCCTTTCCAATGATACAAAAAGTAAAAGCCTCCAGCTCTGGTCCTGAATAGCATCAATATCTGGTGATGGTCCCTGTTACTACGGCGACCACTGACAGAGGCCCATGTGGCTTTGAAGGATGGGTCAAATACAGAGGACAATTTTGAGTACAATAAAGAATTACATTTATTGTCAACTCAATAATAATAATAATGATAATAATAATGCCTTGGTTAAACTTTATACAGAGCTTCAACATCATCATAATTACAGTCTATTTCCACAGTTCTTCTGTATATTGTGTATTGTTTTAGTGTCCAGAGAGACCAGAGAGAGGGAGAGAGAGAGAGAGACCAGAGAGAGAGAGGCCAGAGAGAGAGAGAGACCAGAGTGAGAGAGACCAGAGTGAGAGACCAGAGTGAGAGACCAGAGTGAGAGACCAGAGTGAGAGACCAGAGTGAGAGACCAGAGTGAGAGACCAGAGTGAGAGACCAGAGTGAGAGACCAGAGTGAGAGACCAGAGTGAGAGACCAGAGTGAGAGACCAGAGTGAGAGACCAGAGTGAGAGACCAGAGTGAGAGACCAGAGTGAGAGACCAGAGTGAGAGACCAGAGTGAGAGGCCAGAGTGAGAGGCCAGAGTGAGAGGCCAGAGTGAGAGGCCAGAGTGAGAGGCCAGAGTGAGAGGCCAGAGTGAGAGGCCAGAGTGAGAGGCCAGAGTGAGAGGCCAGAGTGAGAGGCCAGAGTGAGAGACCAGAGAGAGAGTGAGAGAGACTAGAGGGAGAGACGCCAGAGAGAGAGAGACCAGACTGAGAGACCAGAAAGAGGGGCCAGAGTGAGAGAAGCCAGAGAGAGAGAAACCAGAGCGAGAGACCAGAGCGAGAAACCAGAGCGGGAGACCAGAGCGAGAGACCAGAGCGAGAGGCCAGAGAGAGAGTGAGAGAGAAAAGAGGGAGAGACGCCAGAGAGAGAGAGACCAGACTGAGAGACCAGAAAGAGGGGCCAGAGTGAGAGAAGCCAGAGAGAGAGACCAGAGCGAGAGACCAGAGCGAGAGACCAGAGCGAGAGGCCAGAGCGAGAGGCCAGAGCGAGAGGCCAGAGCGAGAGGCCAGAGCGAGAGGCCAGAGCGAGAGGCCAGAGCGAGAGGCCAGAGCGAGAGGCCAGAGCGAGAGGCCAGAGCGAGAGGCCAGAGCGAGACAGCAGAGAGACAGCAGAGAGACAGCAGAGAGACAGCAGAGAGACCGCCGAGAGACCGCCGAGAGACCGCCGAGAGACCGCCGAGAGACCACCGAGAGACCACAGAGAGACCACAGAGAGACCACAGAGAGACCACAGAGAGACCACAGAGAGACCACAGAGAGACCACAGAGAGACCACAGAGAGACCACAGTTGAAAGTCTCCTCTGTCTCTGCTGCAGATCCTCGGTGGGTGTCCATAAACAGAGGCGTTCTCGTCTGTGATGAATGCTGCAGCGTTCACCGAGGTCTGGGTCGACACAGCTCACAAGTGCGGCACCTGACTCACTCCACGTGGCCCCCATCACAGCTGCAGGTGAGCCCCAACCCTCCCCAACCCTCAGGTTATTTGTATAGCACAGTTCATACACAAGGCAACTCAAATAACTTCACAAAAGAAGGCATCTCTTTCATCAGGAGGGACAGGAGGGTCCTGAGCAAACTAACATCTATGCTGGACCATGACTGTCGCCCCCTGCAGGACACTCTCTGCTCTGGAGAGCAGCTTCAGTGACAGACTAATTCACCCTCGTTGTGTGAAGGAGAGGTTCCGTAGGTCTTTCCTTCCTGCTGCTGTCAGACTGTACAATAAGAACTGCTGAGCCTGTAAATTTCATTCATCTGTAATTAAGTAAATTCTTAAATCATGTGCAATGTGCAATACTGCAACTTCAGAATGTCACAGAACAATGTCACTTTACCTCATGTCACTTTACTTATATCCTTTTTATCCTGCACTATTTAACTGTACAGTATATAACTGCACTACTACATATATTTTTTTTACTGGTATTGAAGCATTTTCAACATCTACAGCTAGTTATGTTAGTTAAGAAACATAGCTACTACTTATTTGTATATAGTGTATATATTGTGTGTGCTCCCTGTGTGCTCTTACTACTGTCCTATATGTGCGATGCAACATCGAAATTTCCCCACTGTGGGACGAATAAAGGAATTCTTATCTTATCTTATCTTATCTTATCACAATTTATTAAAAATAGAAAAAAGAATTAGATCGCAGATACAAGCTATTTACTTACTAACCCTGTTTTGGTGTATACTGGGCGCCTATAACCTTTTTTCGAGGGTGGGTTGAATTCACGTTTCTTTTATAGGTTAAACTTCTGAAAAAAGCCCTGATCAGATGTCAAGCAGTGTGGGGCCTGGTTAGTACATGGATGGGAGACCGCTGGCAATCACTGTATAATAATAATGCATTGTTTTTTGGCCGGGTCAAAGACGTTTCAAAACATCAGTCATTCAATTTAAACCCAGCTGCCCTGAGGCACACTGACAGAAGCGAGGCAACCAGTCTGCGCCAACGGCCCCTCCCAACACCACCATTCACACACTCACACCAGACTCATTCTAATGTGGGGGAAGTGTCTTGCAACTGTAAAGTGCCAAACTACAATCTGGCACTTCACAGCCGCAGCTGCCCCGCTGGGGCTCCTGATGTTCTGACAGGTCTCCCATCACCGTACTGACCAGGCCCTGTCTTGCTTAGTTTTAGACTGACCTCTATCCTCTGGTGTGTGTTTCAGATGGTGCAGACGCTGTACGGTAACGGGGCAAACTCCATATGGGAACACGCGCTTCTAGATCCTTCCTCCTCAGTGACTGGAAAACGCAAAGCCAACCCTCAAGACCGGGTGCAGTACGTGTCCTGGATATTTCACCTGAATGTATCTGGAGGAACGAGAGAGACCAGAGAGAGAGACCAGAGAGAGAGACCAGAGAGAGAGACTAGAGAGAGAGACTAGAGAGAGAGACCAGAGAGAGAGACCAGAGAGAGAGACTAGAGAGAGAGACTAGAGAGAGAGACCAGAGAGAGAGACCAGAGAGAGAGACCAGAGACAGAGAGAAACACCAGGGAGAGAGACCAGAGTGAAAAACCAGAGAGAGAGATCAGAAAGAGAGAGAGCGATAGATAGATAGATAGATAGATAGATATATACTTTATTGATCCTGAAGGAAATTGTGCACTGGTCCCTTGCTCGCAATCATACAAAGATACATACATAGGTAAGAATTAAAAGATGCAAAATAGTTAAAAAAGAGACAATAAATACATTAAAACATTAAAAGAGAAGTTAAGGCACTGCAAAACAATTCTCAAGACCCCAGCCTCCCTCCCCCCCCTTGCTCCTCCCTGAAGTGGCTTTGTTATAGAGCCTGATGGCGTTGGGGACAAAAGAGTTTTTTAGTCTGTCCTTGGAGCACCTCAGAGAGAGGAGTCTGGAGCTCATGGTGCTTCTCTGGCGGGAAAAAAATGAATTTAGTGGGTGGCTCTTTAGAGGCCAGAGAGAGAGGCTGGAGAGAGAGGCCGGAGAGAGAGGCCAGAGAGAGAGGCCGGAGAGAGAGGCCAGAGAGAGAGACCAGAGATGGAGACCAACATTTTACTAGCGGTTTTATGATGTTGGAGTAAACACACAGTAATAAAAATCACTCTCGTACACAAAGTCCGCAGGCAGCAGATGAAAGGTGCTACAGTGAGGGACCTCTGTAGGGTCTCTCTCCTGCCTGGTACTTTGCATAAATGTTTCTGTCTCTGTTTTTCAGCCCAAACAAGACGGAGTTCATCAAAGCCAAGTATCAGATGTTGGCGTATGTCCATCGGATGCCGTGTCGGGAAGACGACAGTGTAACGGCCAAAGACCTCAGCAAGGTCTGTCTGTGTGTGGCTTTATTATTAATGTATACTGAGGTCTCTCACCCTAATATTAATGTATACTGAGGTCTCTCACCCTAATATTAATGTATACTGAGGCCTCTCACCCTAATATTAATGTATACTGAGGCCTCTCACCCTAATATTAATGCATACTGAGGCCTCTCACCCTAATATTAATGTATACTGAGGCCTCTAACTCTAATATTAATGTATACTGAGGCCCCTAACTCTAATATGAATGTATACTGAGGTCTCTCACCCTAATGTTAATGTATACTGAGGCCCCTAACTCTAATATTAATGTATACTGAGGCCCCTAACTCTAATATTAATGTATACTGAGGTCTCTCACCCTAATATTAATGTATACTGAGGTCTCTCACCCTAATATTAATGTATACTGAGGCCCCTAACTCTAATATTAATGTGTACTGAGGCCCCTAACTCTAATATTAATGTATACTGAGGTCTCTCACCCTAATATTAATGTATACTGAGGCCCCTAACTCTAATATTAATGTATACTGAGGCCCCTAACTCTAATATTAATATTTAAAAATGAACGATTGTTGCAGCAACTTCACTCGAGTGTTCGAACTGGAAATCTGGAGACGTGTCTCAGACTGTTGTCGTTAGGAGCTCAGGCCAACTTCTTTCACCCGGTGAGTGTTCAGATATGTTTATAATATTATGTATGAGTATATATAAATATATATAGTTATATATATATGTAAACCCACCCCCTCCCTGCAGGAAAAGGGCAACACTCCTCTACACATAGCAGCAAAAGCTGGACAGATTTTACAAGCAGAACTTTTGGCAGTTTATGGATCAGATCCTGGGGCTTTGGACTCGTGTGGAAAGACTCCCATCGACTACGCAAGGTACAGTCTAACCCTGACCCCTCAGGCGCCAAAGTAGTCTCTGCTGAAACCAGAGCCTGTCAGACCTCTGAAGCTCAGCAGGGCAGGGCTGTATACAGCCAATATTATTATTATTATTATTATTATCATTGTTTCTGTAGAGGAAACAGCTCCGCTCCTCCTCTTCCTCATGTGCAAAAGAAAGACCCGCAGAGCACAATGCCACAAAAATGTGAATAATTGAATAATCTCGTGACTGAGCCTGCAGTAAGTACGAGTTTAGTGGCTGATTATCCACAAGACTGTGATCCTTTAGACAACATTATCAATAAAGTATCTATTTATCTATCTCAATCACAGCAAATATCAAGATCAGGCAAACAAGGAACAAGAGCTATAATAATGTAGTATTTCTCTTCATTTGACTGTTTTAGAACCACCTCTACTCTACTCTACTCTACTCTACTCTACTCCAGGTACTCTGTATCCTGTGGTCCTGGTTCTACCCAGGCCGAGCTGGTGCTAAAGTGTTCTAACTGACAGTGATTTGCCAAAGTGCTGCTGGTTACCGATGGTTGCTGCGGGTTGGTTCCTAGTATATGGTACCAGATACTTGTAGAGTAGAGTATGAATGCTGGAAACAAGGATCTGAATTAGTTATCTTACTCAAAACACTCAGACAAAAGCGAAGTTAGCGTTTGCCAAATTGAGCCGTGAATCTGGAGAGTGTTGGTTTGTGGCTGATGCCGTGTCCTGTGCCTCAGACACGCCGGTCATCATGAACTGGCCGAGAGACTGGTGGAGATCCAGTACGAGCTCACAGACCGACTCACCTTCTACCTCTGCGGCCGGAGACCAGGTACCAGGTGTCTCTGCTCTCAGTGTCTGTGTTTTTGATCCATATCTGACGATGACATGGATTCACAGATCACAGAAACGGGACACACTTCATCATTCCACAGATGGCCGACAGGTACTTTCACTGTTTCTATGGCGACGGGATTGAAAAGGTTTAGGGTTTGGACGTGTTTTCATGTGAACTGTTTATGTTGAGGACTAGGGGTGGGACCCTAAGGGTACCTCACGATACGATACGATACAAAGCTCACGATAACGATTTTATCACAATATGAAGATTATTGATATATTGGTCAGAAATATACAATATGCCAACTTATGGCATAAATAAAAGAAAAAATACTCTTTATTTCATGATAAATAGAATGGAGATGCGTAATGTAGCCATATATTAAGTATTGATACCAATTTTTTTTTAAAAGTGGAGAGAGAGGAGCGAGAGAAGACAGTGGAGAGAGGGGAGAGAGAAGAGGAGAGAGAGAAGACAGTGGAGAGAGAGGAGAGAGAAAAGGAGCGAGAAGACAGTGGAGAGAGAGGAGAGAGAGAAGACAGTGGGGGTGAGAGGAGAGAGGATAAAGACAGAGGGGAGAGGGGAGAGAAGACAGTGGGAGAGAGAGAAGAGAGAGAAGACAGTGGGAGAGAGAGGAGAGCGAGAAGACAGTGGGAGAGAGAGGAGAGAGAGAAGACCGTGGGAGAGAGAGGAGAGGAGACATCAGTCCCTTTCCTCAGACGTGTTGTGGGTGTGGTGTAATAGATGTAACTCAGAGAAAGTAATCTTTACTTGTGTGATTGGATTTTCTGCTGCGATCGATGGAGAAGGAATAAGTAAGTTCTGAGGGTTTCACAGTTGGTGCTCTCTAAGTAGAAACTGATTTTATTTTTTCTAATCACAGTTTGGATTTGTCAGAATTTGCAAAAGCTGCGAAGAAGAAACTCCAGTCGGTAATACTGATATCTCATTTATTATTTTTATTATTATTATTATTATTATTAATGTTCAAGTACAGTACTTGCTGGACTATTAACTACCTGTATACAAGCCATCCATCTATTTTCTTCTGCTTTATCCTTGGCCGTATCGCAGCAGTCTGAGCAGAGACTCACACACCTCCAGTTCATCTGTATTAATCCTGAGGCGTTCCCAGCTGAGACACAGTCCTCTGTGTCCTGGGTCTCCTCCAGGTCTCCTCCTTTAAACTTCACTGCTCCCATCTCTGTGTGGAGTGAGAGACAAAGTCCACAACAAATGTGCTTTTTGACTCTGTCTGTGAAAGGCGCTATATAAATAAAGATTACTTACTGTCAGAGCAGCAGCTCTACTCTGAGCTCCTCTTGTGTGACTGGACTCCAAAGGGAGTTTTTCTCTGGATGACCGCTTGTATTCGCGATCTCGTCCTTTGACCTGAGGTGAAGGAGGGACGTAGAGCTCTTACTGCAGACGCTGCTCCCTCTTCACCACAACAGTCCGACACTCACTGCACACGCTGCACTGATCCGTTCTTTTCTCACAGAACAGCAGGGTTCACAGGACTTTTAGTCCGGCAAGTTCTGTACGAGGGAGGGATTCACCTTTAAAGCTGTTCATGTGATTGTAGCTCAGTAACCATCAGTTTGAGGAACTGGCCATGGACGTCTACGATGAGGTGGACAGAAGAGAAACAGACGCAGGTGAACCTCACAATTGGTTATTTTTATTATGTGTTTTACAATAGTCCCTGGTTCATGACAGGGGTGATGTGCTCTAAATATAACTCACAATAAGGTAAATCCTGTCAGTAGCAGACTGTAAAACCTCTCACACTTTAGACTTCACACTCTAACCCCCTGAAGTGACCAAAGAGTGAGACAAGATAGAGACCAGGGAGAGGCCGGGGAGAGACCAGGGAGAGACCAGGGAGAGACCAGGGAGCTAGACCAGGGAGCTAGACCAGGGAGCTAGACCAGGGAGCTAGACCAGGGAGCTAGACCAGGGAGCTAGACCAGGGAGCTAGACCAGGGAGCTAGACCAGGGAGCTAGACCAGGGAGCTAGACCAGGGAGCTAGACCAGGGAGCTAGACAAGAGAGGTAGACCAGAGAGCGAGCCTATAGCCAAAAGTTTCTTTCTGACTTTAAATGAATCCAAAAACCTCTGAAACAGCCACAAAATAGGACCACATTATTGTGAGAGACCATTTTAGTTAAATATCCTATATTTTTAGCACTGATATATAGTACCTCATTTGTGAATTCCTGTAATGATAATAAAAGTAATTCTGGTTGTTTATTATCTCTGTAGTTTGGCTGGCAACACAAAACCACAGTACCCTCGTCACAGACACAACAGTCGTACCATTCCTCCCAGTTAATCCGGAATATTCCTCCACCAGGAACCAGGTCAGAGGCACCATAGTATCTAATGAACCATGTATAATTTAGCAATGTCTTCTTCCTGGTCTCTCTCCGTTCTCTCTCCGTTCTCTCTCTGGTCTCTCTCTGGTCTCTCTCTGGTCTCTCTCTGTTCTCTCTCTGTTCTCTCTCTTGTCTCTCTCTGGTCTCTCTCTCTGGTCTCTCTCTCTGGTCTCTCTCTCTGGTCTCTCTCTCTGGTCTCTCTCTCTGGTCTCTCTCTGGTCTCTCTCTGGTCTCTCTCTGGTCTCTACCTGGTCTCTCTCTGGTCTCAATCCCACTTGTCCTTCTTAATGTGTTCCAGGGCCGTCAGAAGTTGGCCAGGTTCAGTGCCCATGAGTTCGCCACCCTCGTTATTGACATTCTGACGGATGCCAAACACAGACAATGGGGAAATACCTGTGAAAATCCAAAAGGTACAGCACTGGGTTGCGTTCATGTGACATCACAGCTCTCCCAAGAGCCTTAGTTTGAAGTTGTGAAGTAGAGAAGCTTGAAAGTCTCTCAAAGTCAGATTTTTAGTTTTTGTTTAGAGTTTAATCTCTCAAATTCCTGGGAAAATTTACTGCATCATTTATCTTCAAACCTGGGTCTACAGCCTCAGTCCTGGGTCTACAGCCTCAGTCTTGGGTCTACAGACTCAGTCCTGGGTCTACAGCCTCAGTCCTGGGTCTACAGCCTCTGTCCTGGGTCTACAGCCTCAGTCCTGGGTCTACAGCCTCAGTCCTGGGTCTACAGCCTCAGTCCTGGGTCTACAGACTCAGTCCTGGGTCTACAGCCTCAGTCCTGGGTCTACAGCCTCAGTCCTGGGTCTACAGCCTCAGTCCTGGGTCTACAGCCTCAGTCCTGGGTCTACAGCCTCAGTCCTGGGTCTACAGCCTCAGTCCTGGGTCTACAGCCTCAGTCCTGGGTCTACAGCCTCTGTCCTGGGTCTACAGCCTCAGTCCTGGGTCTACAGCCTCAGTCCTGGGTCTACAGCCTCAGTCCTGGGTCTACAGCCTCAGTCCTGGGTCTACAGCCTCAGTCCTGGGTCTACAGCCTCAGTCCTGGGTCTACAGCCTCAGTCCTGGGTCTACAGCCTCAGTCCTGGGTCTACAGCCTCAGTCTTGGATCTACAGCCTCAGTCCTGGGTCTACATCCTCAGTCCTGGGTCTACAGCCTCAGTCCTGGGTCTACAGCCTCAGTCCTGGGTCTACAGCCTCAGTCCTGGGTCTACAGCCTCAGTCCTGGGTCTACATCCTCAGTCCTGGGTCTACATCCTCAGTCCTGGGTCTACAGCCTCAGTCCTGGGTCTATATCCTCAGTCCTGGGTCTACAGCCTCAGTCCTGGGTCTACATCCTCAGTCCTGGGTCTACAGCCTCAGTCTTGGATCTACAGCCTCAGTCCTGGGTCTACATCCTCAGTCCTGGGTCTACAGCCTCAGTCCTGGGTCTATATCCTCAGTCCTGGGTCTACATCCTCAGTCCTGGGTCTACAGCCTGTTCGTTCATGCAGATCCTTCTCTCACTATGGGTCTCCCCAAGTTTTCTCATTTTTATCCCACTGGGTTTCTGAGTGGTTCTTTATGGATGTAGGGTGGTCTGATGTTGTGAATTACGACAATACACAAATAAATAGAATTATATATAGCCCAGTACAGAGGACTTTCGGACAATATCAAATAAGCATCACACATTTTTCTTTTTGACGTTTCTTTCTAAAAGGTTTCCTTGCCATTGAGTTGAATTTCTCCATCTAAATGTGTTTCTGCTTTGGCTTCAGAGAATGTTGAGCTGATTCTTCAGGGAATAAACAGTCGCCACAACAGCGAGAGCCAAGACATGGACCAACCGGACTACGACAGCGTGGCGTCTGACGAGGAGCCCACACAAGAGCCCTGTGCTGACAGCGGGACTGATGGGAGGACCAAGGTACATCTGTCAATCATCCTGCCAGTGTTTAGTCCTGATTCTGGGACCGGCAGGAGGCCAGTCCCTGTGCTCCTCAGAGTCCCAGCAGGAGGCCAGTCCCTGTGCTCCTCAGAGTCCCAGCAGGAGGCCAGTCCCTGTGTACTAACATGTCACAGATGTATTTTGGTGCAAGGCCATGGACAGATTTGTAAAAAACAGCTGATTTAAAGTCTATTCTCTGAGCCACAGGAAGCGGGTGCAGAGACCTGAGACCAGGACTGTTGTGGTCGTACTTCCTGGTTCTAGTCAGGACTTTAGCTGCAGCTGTTTTAGAGCTCGTTTGGTGAGACCCGTGAGCAGCCGTTGCAGTAGACTAACTACTTGTGACAGATGCAGGTTAAGAATCTCCAAGTCTGCTTTAGACACTTATTTCTATATTTATCTTTAAGTAAGTAAGTAGTAAGTAAAGAGAGTAATGCGTACTTACTACTACTTACTTACTTACTTACTATTTCTCTTTAAAACAAGTGCTGATTATGTTGGATGATGTGTTGCAGAGCTCGGAGTCGTCAGACCTGTCGGATGGACCAATCACTGTTCAAGAGTTTATGGAGGTCAAAACTGCGCTCACTGTTTCAGAAGCCAAAATAAAACAGCTCCTCAAAGTGAACTGCCATCTGAGTGAAGAGCTGAGGGCGATGCAAAACAAGGTACAACAAGAACTCATTTCAAATTTCTGAGTGTTCGTCTGCAGTACCACAGCGCCCCCTGTGCCCAGTGATGGGACACCTGTAAGCTAGTCATACTCTATCCAGATATTATTATAGATCCATGACAGGGATCACAAGGCCACAGCGCTAGCACGTCACGTGTCCGTTAAGGGTGGGAACCTAAGCGTACCTCACGATACGATACACGATACAAAGTTCACGATAACAATATTATCACGATAACAATATTATCATGATAACGATATCACGATAACAATTTTATCACAATATGACGATTATCGATATATTGGTCAGAAATATACAATATGCCAATTTATGGCATAAATAAAAGAAAAAATACACTTTATTTCATGATAAATGGAATGGAGATGCGTAATGTAGCCATATATTAAGTATTGATACCAATTTTTTAAAAATTGTTAATAATAATAAATAAAATAAAAATAGCATTTATATTTTTTTCAAAATCGATATTGATATTTGGCAAATGCATATCGATAATCGAATCGCGGGAGAAAGTATCGCGATATATCGATTTATTAATATGACTTGGACCGTAAGCGCGCTCTGATTGGTTGATTGCCGGTCTGATATTTTCCCATCTCGGACCGTTACCATGACAATTGGTCCAAACAGCGCGTATCACATTTGATATCTTTCCACGGACCGTTACCATGACAATCTGTCCACAGCCTGTATCACACAAAACCAAGTCAGACATGAACATACTTAACAAATATCTCAAAAGCATTGGTAAAGACACAGACGAGAGTCATATAATAAAACATTTATTAATCTTGCTTGCTCGGTCTGTGCAGAGAAATATCAGACCTTGGCCTTTTTGCACAGACCTCGCCACGGCTCGGTCTGTACATTAAGGCCGCGGTCTGATATTTCTCCATACAGACCTCGCGCTCTGTTAATAAGCCGTTAATATCGTCACACCCCCAGTCTCCGTGCATATAGCCCATGGCAGTGGGCTATATGCACACTGCCATGGGTGTGCATATCTCTGGTCTCTCTCTCTCTGGTCTCTCTCTCTGGCCACTCTCTGGTCACTCTCTCTCTATTTCTGGACACTCTGGTCTCTCTCTCTCTCTGCCTACTCTCTGGTCTCTCTCTCTCTGGCCACTCTCTGGTCTCTCTCTCTCTCTGCCTACTCTCTGGTCTCTCTCTCTCTCTCTGCCTACTCTCTGGTCTCTCTCTCTCTGGACACTCTGGTCTCTCTCTCTCTGCCTACTCTCTGGTCTCTCTCTCTCTGGACACTCTGGTCTCTCTCTCTCTGCCTACTCTCTGGTCTCTCTCTCTCTGGCCACTCTCTGGTCTCTCTCTCTCTGGCCACTCTCTGGTCTCTCTCTCTCTGGCCACTCTCTGGTCTCTCTCTCTCTGGCCACTCTCTGGTCTCTCTCTCTGGCCACTCTCTGGTCTCTCTCTCTCTCTCTGGACACTCTGGTCTCTCTCTCTCTCTGGCCACTCTCTGGTCTCTCTTTGGTCTGTCTCTCTCTTTGGCTACCCTCTCTCTCTGGCCTCTCAGGTTTCTCTCTAGTCAGATGTGAAGTGACAGAATATACAGTCTATGCTTATAGTTTTGTTAAGAGTACACAAAAACAAAAAGTTTGTTCAAAGTCTCCTCTCTGTCTCCAGCTGAGCTCCCTGCAGACGGAGAACACCACACTGAGATGGCAGACTCCTGCAGGACCTCAGCCTCAGGGGCCCTCAGGTCGGGGGCCTCTGAGGGGGGGCCGTGCTCTGTCCATGTATGAGACCGGCTCCAGTCTGAGGTCCTACCCCCCACGTACAGACCCCACAAGGACCGAGGAAGGGGTCGTACTACAGCCGTTCCAGACCAATGTAAGAACAGCTGCATCTCACAGGGACATCCGAGGCCCGGTCTCTCTCTGGTCTCTCTGGTCTCTCTCTGGTCTCTACCTCTCTGTACCGTTATGAGATCCCTAAAAAAAAATACTGCTTAAACTAAGTACAAAATGATCTGCCAATAGAACAAGAAAACATGACTTGACTCTCTGGTCTCTGCGCTCTCTCTATAGTCTATCTCTAGTCTCTCTCTGGCCTCTCACTCTCTCACTATCTGGTCTCTCACTCTGGTCTCTCTATGGTGTCTCTCTCTGGTCTCTATCTGGCCTCTCACTCTCTCGCTATCTGGTCTCTCTCTCCGGCCTCTCTCTTGTCTCTCTCTGGTCTCTCTCTGGTCTCTCTCTGGTCTCTCTCTCTCCGGCCTCTCTCTTGTCTCTCTCTGGTCTCTCTCTGGTCTCTCTCTGGTCTCTCTCTGGTCTCTCTCTGGTCTCTCTCTGGCCTCTCACTCTCTCGCTATCTGGTCTCTCTCTCGGGCCTCTCTCTTGTCTCTCTCTGGTCTCTCTCTGGTCTCTCTCTCTCCGGCCTCTCTCTTGTCTCTCTCTGGTCTCTCTCTCTCCGGCCGCTCTCTTGGTCTCTCTCTGGTCTCTCTCTGGTCTCTCTCTGGCCTCTTTCTGGTCTCGCCCTGGTCTCGCTCTGGTCTCGCTCTGGTCTCTCTCTGGTCTCTGGATCTAGTAGAGAGTGACCAGACAGAGCCAAAAGCGTTCAATAATTGTGCATTCCCACAGACGATGCATAAGGACACCAGCATCATTCTGACATTTCCCTGGAGCTGGTTTTTCACTTGGTTAATTATTCAGTCGGTGTCCTCCTCTTGGTCTGACCCCTTCTAGATTGGGAGGGGTCCTTTGGGGACGGCTGCCTCCTCTCTCCCCACCTTCCCCTCCTCCCTGTCCTGGTCGTGGGATGAGAGATCTCGAAGGGTTAAGTACAGACTGTCCCCAGGGTCCGGCACATACGGTTCTCTCGGAGCCTGACTTTAAAGCCTCCTCTCTGTCAGCACTCACTGCATGGACCATCGTGCATCACCGTCTCCCTCCGTCTGTCCAGGGAGACTCTAAACTCTCACTTTGTTTATTGTTCCTCAAAGATGTTCTCTGCGGCTGCCTTAGGAGACCCAGCTTCCACTACACTAACCATGCAGGCTCAGAATAACTGTCCTGGACTTTAACTTTCTCATTGATGTGATTGTGAGACGTGACCGCTCTTCTTTCTGCTCAGTCGTGCATGATTCTGAGGTCGTTCCGGGTCTTTGCTGTTGTGGAAACACTGACATTTGTCCTGTGTGTCTTCAGGGCTGCAGTCTGGAAGGACGGAGCACAGTGTTGGAGAATGATTATGATTCTACACCGAACCACTCTGAGCTGGAAGAGGCGGGGTAAAAACTGTTCTCATGGTTTTACTGTTGTAGTGCAGAGGGAGCAGCGTCTGCAGTCAGAGCTCTAGTCCCCTCCCTCACCTCTTGTTATGAGCTTTGGGTAATGACCGACAGGACGAGATACAAGTGATCCACATGAGTTTCCCTTAGAGATAGAGTACAGAGTAGAGCCAAAGTGGAGGTGGCTCTGTTTAGGATGCCTCCTGGTCTCCTCCCTGGGGATGTGTTCAGGACTTGTCCCACCGAGAGGAGACCAGGAGGAGACCCAGGATACAGAGGTACTGTCTCTCAGCTGGGATTCCCCCAGATGAGCTGGAGGAGGTGTGTGTGGATGAAGCAGAAGTAAAAGCCTGTTCTCTCCACAGGAGTCCTCTCCAGACCCTGGACTGCTCTGATCCTGCAGCTGAGGACGTGTCTCTGCCGAGCACCGAGGACGTGATCTGTAAAACTGAGCAGATCACCAAAAACATCCAGGAGCTGCTGCGGGCGGCTCAGGAGACCAACCACGACAGGTGCGGCTTTAAAACTGAGGCTGTAGACCCAGGACTGATTTAACCAAAAAGACACATCACATCAATGCATTCTAAGGCTGCGGTCACATGGGACCTAAAGCCCGGTTTAAGTGGGCCAGGGCCCACTTTCGCGATTAGATCCGGGCTTTAGGTCCCATGTGGGTTTCAGCACGATTCCTGCAATCGGCCACAACACATTTCTGCAGAGCCAAAGGGAAGCGATTCCTATGGGAATAACTCCCTCTGTTCTGACCCTCGCTCTCACAGTGATTGTAATAACACTTCAGACATTCAAGAATCAGTCTTTATTTAATTGCAAGAACACACACACACTCTTTGGAAACGAGCGTAAGAGCGCTGAGAATTTAATGTTTGCTTGTAAAAACCTATGTGACCGTGCCCTATGTTTCATTCTAACGTTCTGGGTCTGATCATGACCATGTTTGTTCGCAGCTTCCTGCCGTGCTCAGAGAGGATCTGTGTGGCTGTGACTGAGATGGCGGCTCTGTTTCCAAAGGTAAGACGAGCCTCAGTCCACGCCCTGAGTCTGTGTTTACCAAACACTCAGAACCGGATGCAACAGGATCCCTCTGCTCTGTTTGTTTGGTCTCAGGGTTTTATGTCTGTGCGTTTATAGTATACATTCAGATCGGCTCTGGACCAGAGAGAGACCAGAGAGAGACCAGAGAGAGACCAGAGAGAGACCAGAGAGAGACCAGAGAGAGACCAGAGAGAGACCAGAGAGAGACCAGAGAGAGACCAGAGAGAGACCAGAGAGAGACCAGAGAGAGACCAGAGAGAGGCCAGAGAGAGACCAGAGAGAGGCCAGAGAGAGGCCAGAGAGAGGCCAGAGAGAGACCAGAGAGAGACCAGAGAGAGACCAGAGAGAGGCCAGAGAGAGGCCAGAGAGAGGCCAGAGAGAGACCAGAGAGAGGCCAGAGAGAGGCCAGAGAGAGGCCAGAGAGAGGCCAGAGAGAGGCCAGAGAGAGGCCAGAGAGAGACCACAGAGAGAGACCAGCGCGAGTGTGTTTGATGGTATTCTCTGGTGTCTTGCAGTATCCGGCCTCAGAGACCGTGCGTGGCTCTCTGTGTCTGCTCACGTCCAGCGCCAGTCGTCTTCACGGCGAGTGCCAGAAGGGGGCGGAGTTCGGTCCCTCAGACGTCCAGCTGGTCACGCAGCAGGTCATACAGTGTGCCTACGACATCGCCAAGGCCGCCAAGCAACTGGTCACCGTGACAACCAAAGAGAACAGCAACTGAGAAAGCCCCCCCCCCCCCCCCCCCCCCCCCAATAGTAAACCCCACACATTTATATATAAGTGTTATGTGTGAAATCACTAACATGCAATATACCCCACTATACCCACAGGGATGAGCTCACAGGGACGAGCTCACAGGGACGGGCTCACAGTGAATCCTCCGTAACAATTTATATGAACCTGTTTCAACCAGCTCTACTCTACTCTACTGTGCTCTACACTACTCTGTGCCCTACTCTCCTCTACTGTGCCCTACTCTACTGTGCTCTACACTACTCTACTGTGCCCTACTCTACTGTGCTCTACACTACTCTACTGTGTCCTACTCTACTGTGCCCTACTCTACTCTACTGTGCCCTACTCTTCTCTACTCTGCCCTACTCGACTCTACTGTGCCCTACTCGACTCTACTTTACTTTACTGTGCCCTACTCGACTCTACTGTGCCCTTCTCTACTCGACTCTACTCTACTCTACTGTGCCCTACTCTACTCTACTGTACTGTACTAGAGTAGCGCTGGTGGAAACAGGGCAGAGTGAAACCTGTAGTGATGAATATTATTGTACAAACCAAACTGATGGAACTGTCGTTGTTGAGGCTCGATCCAAAGCCAGTATGTTACATTCACAGTGTTAGAGTTCTGTTCTTCTCTCCTGACCTCCAGAGGCGCTCAGTGCCATGCACCGCCCTCTGGGGGTCATCCGGGATTCATAGAACCATAGTTACATGTGTAACTTCCGGTTTACCACCAGGACTCCCAGAGCAGTCAATGTGACGGCTCTTAGTTAAACAGTGTAATTCCTGCTCATGTACACGTTTGGTCCTAATAACTTTGAGTCTGTTCCTGTTTCTATTTGTAGTTTATTTTTGTGTCATTATTTTTATGAAATGATGTTTTATTTTTGAAATGTGAGTTTTATCTTTATATACAATACATAGCCATTCTATGGCAGTTAAAAACCCTCTTCTCCAAGGTTCTGGTCTGGTTCTGGTCTGGACCTGGACTGGTCCTGGTTAATCTAGATAAGGGCCAGTGTGTTATTACTTACCATGGCAACAAACGGTTTACTTTTAGCACGTAATATTCACCAGTTTTAGCACTTAATAAAAGTGAGTAATGGTTAAAAAAAAATACTTACTTTTTTAAAAGATTTTTTCAGTATTACTTTGATTTGAATGGAAGCCGTTGAAAAATACTGCTGCCATTCAAACCTATGATGCCCTGGGAGTCCGGGTGTTAAACATACAACATGCCAAATAGTGAAACAGTCACATTCTGTCGATGGTGGAGTCACACGCTCAGAGTCGATGGTGTTTTAATGAAAGAGCCATATGTGTGAAACTGTTGAAATGTATTCTGCACATGACACTGTATGAAAGTCTTACAGATATTTATAAACGTACGTCATACTCTAAAGAACCTGTCTTTATTTTCAGACAGAACAACCGTGTTCTGTCGTGGGTCGGTTCTGGTCGGGTGTGGGCTGTGTCTGTGTTGTGAAGTAAAGTCGGCTTCAAACCTTCTGTGACTCTTAAAACTCGCCCTTTCATCTCGGAGTGCAAACCGGACCAACAGCCTCTGGTGTAATGTGAATGTATTTATAAAGTTTGTATTAACCCTTCAGACGCCAAAGCACAGACTGGATACAGGACACTCTCTTTTGCTGGTCTCTCTCTCTGATCTCTCTCGCTGGTCTTTATAGCTGGTCTCTCTCTTGTATCTCGCTGGTCTATTTTTGATCTCTCTCTGGTCTTTCTTGCTGGTATCTGTAGGTGGTCTTTCTCTGGTCTCTGTCCCTGGTCTCTCTTTCTGTTCTTGTTCTATACAGTGACTTGGCTCCATTTAATCATTTTTATGTGTCGTCCTAAGTCACAGGACCTTTTCTTGGGTTTATTTCGCAAAAAAAATGTCCAAAGAACTGCTGGCGTCTGAAGAGTTAAGACAGTGATGATAAGATGTCACACCCGCCACAGTCCCTGCCTGAGTCTGAATAAAGTGCTACCTACGAGTTCTGCTCCTGTGTATTTTTGGTCATACTGTTACAATGAGTATAGTCTACAGCCTCAGTCCTGGGTCTACAGCCTCAGTCCTGGGTCTACTCAGCCTGAGTCCTGGGTCTACAGCCTCAGTCCTGGGTCTACACAGTCTCAGTCCTGGGTCTACAGCCTCAGTCCTGGGTCCATAGTCCTGGGTCTACAGCCTCAGTCCTGGGTCTACAGCCTCAGTCCTGGGTCTACTCAGCCTGAGTCCTGGGTCTACAGCCTCAGTCCTGGGTCCATAGCCCTGGGTCTACAGCCTCAGCCCTGGGTCTACAGCCTCAGCCCTGGGTCTACACAGCCTCAGTCCTGGGTCCATAGCCCTGGGTCTACAGCCTCAGTCCTGGGTCTACAGCCTCAGTCCTGGGTCCATAGCCCTGGGTCTACAGCCTCAGTCCTGGGTCTACAGCCTCAGTCCTGGGTCCATAGCCCTGGGTCTACAGCCTCAGCAGCAGTAGTATTGTGTCACACCTGTCAGAGTCCGGGCAGCGGTTTGGAGCCTCCCATCACGAGGGCACAGTTCCGGGTTGGTGAGTCCGCTTCTGTCGCCGCTGCTGCCGCCTCCTTCTGCCCTCCACAGCCCGGAGACATGTCTCTGCTACTGGACAATCAGTTCTCAGAGTTACCAGAGGACAGGTCCGTGGACACGCAGCAGTTCCTGGACGCGGTCTCCCATCTCCCTGCCTTCATAGGTGAGTCTCGCTCCGTCTCGTATACTGTATGTGCAGGAGACTTTCCCACGCCTCCACCGGACAACACATCCATGACAAATATCTGTGTCATTTTATCAGCTGTACATTTTTGCAAATATTTACAACTCTTGCAGCAACAATAACAAAAAGTATATTGAAAGCGTTACTTCCCTTTTCTGGTGCTGTCGCTGTTTGTGAGAGGAGTGAGGCTGTAGATCTCTCTCGTCTCTCTGGTCTCTCTGGTCTCTCTCTCTCTGGTCTCTCTGGTCTCTCTGGTCTCTCTCTCTCTGGTCTCTCTATCTGGTCTCTCTCTCTGGTCTCTCTCTCTGGTCTCTCTCTCTGGTCCCTTCCACTAGTCTCTCTTTGGTCACTTTCTGGTGTCTCTCTGGTCTCTCTTTCCCTGGTCTCTCTCCCTGGTCTCTCTCCATGATCTCTCTGGTATCTACAAAACATTGATAAATGACTGGCTTCTGTACACGGCCACAGAATACTTCTGTTGCTACTGTGTTTGTTTTTTAGTGTGAGAGAGTGGGAAAGAGAGAGAGACACACTGACAGACAGACAGAAAGAGAGACCAGAGACACAGAGAGAGAGAGGCACATAGACAGACAGAGAGGAGAGAGACCAGAGACACACACACACACATAAAGAGTGAGAAAGAGAGACACACACAGACAGAGAGAGAGACAACAGACATTCAGAGAGAGATTGAGAAAGAGAGAGTTTGACACACAGAAGTTTGTGCCTGGCCCTTGGCACATTGACCCTATTGTACCGGGACTGAAGCGGCTGAGTCCAGGCTCCAGTGTGAGCTCTCATTCATATTTGATCCGGTCTCACGTTTCCATCCTCCACAGACTGTCTGGGGTCAAAGGTCTTCTCTGTCATCAAGTCCGACATCGTGGGGAACATCACGGTAAAGTCCTGTCTCAGTCACTGACACACACATGGTCTCTCTCTAGTCTCGCTGTCTGGTATCTCCCTCTTTTCTCTCTCTGGTCTCTCCCTCTTTTCTCTCTCATACACACACAGACTTCCATTTGTTTATTGTAGAAAATCCGAGGCGTTTATGAGAAGGATCCACAGAGATACGTGACGCTGAGACACATCCTGGAAGCGGAGAGAGAGGAGCACGGCTCGGAATGGCCCAAAGTCGGAGCCACTCTCGCTTTGATGTGGTTAAAAAGGTTTGTTCCTTCTGTTCTGCGCTGAGGTTCAAGGTCCTATATCACGCTTTTCTTCATGTTTCACACTCAATCCTATGCACATGTGTGATATTAATGTGTATGATACACCACACAACAATCAAAGCTTGTGAGATTAGAGCCATCTCTTGTATAGAGGTGACGTCACCTCGACTCAAACGAGCTGATCCAGAGAAGAGTCTGCTCCTCTGCCTGTGAGCCCGCCTCCCCCCGCCCGCACGGTGACGTAGCATCACGCTTTTGGCGTTTATCACCTGTACTTAGTAATTTCATACATAAGAATAAACTTTTTCCAACAATGACAATCCGTCACATCGAGCCCTATGTCCTCAATGCACAATCAGACCCTAGTTATTTAGTTTACAGCGAGTTAGCGTCACTACTTACAGATCGAGGGGGTCCGAGTTACGTCTTTTACCGTGGGAATAACGTGTTTCCAGATCAGCTTTTGAGTAAGTCCAGTTCCATTGTCCCTGTAGTTCTGGAACAGTCTCAGTGAAGTGTCGCAGATGAACCGGTTTATAATAGATCCATGAGATGAACAGATGAAAAAAGTCGAGCCGCTTTCTTCCTCTCAGGGCCAAATAGTGTGTCACATATTTACACCCATAACACACTTCATTCAAGTTGACGTGATCCTAACACTTTTAGTTGCTGACAAAAGCATAAAAACAGCAGCTCTATGTGGTGTCCGCGAGACCAGACAGATTGCTCTCTTACAAAAGATTGACAGAATCAATGAATAAACTACTGTGGGCTTGTGTATGAAGGCCAAATAGCATTGTAATCATGTTTAAAGCAGAGAAAAGTCAAAAACCGTGATATGGGCCCTTTAAAGTCTCTCAGTCCTGATGCAGTACCTGTGTGTGTCCTGTAGGGGGCTCCGTTTCATTCAGATCCTGCTTCAGAGTTTGGCAGATGGAGAAAAGGATGAGAACAACCCCAACCTGATCAGAGTGAGCATCAACAAGGCCTACGATGGGGCGCTGAAGCGGTACCACGGCTGGATCGTGCAGAAGATCTTCAAGGTGAGGAGTTAGACAGATTTAGAGTTTATACCTGACAGACATAAAGCATTTTTTATATTTTAACCTTTTTTTTAACCAGTAAAAATCCCATTCATATAAAAAAAAACGTATATTTCAAGGAGGCCAAGAGTCAGCAAAGTTATACATAAACACAACAGACATTAAAATAGTCAAACTGGTCTCCTGCCTGGTCTCCTGCCTGGTCTCTTGCCTGGTCTCCTGCCTGGTCTCCTGCCTGGTCTCCTGCCTGGTCTCCTGCCTGGTCTCCTGCCTGGTCTCTTGCCTGGTCTCCTGCCTGGTCTCTTGCCTGGTCTCTTGCCTGGTCTCTTGCCTGGTCTCTTGCCTGGTCTCTTGCCTGGTCTCTTGCCTGGTCTCTTGCCTGGTCTCTTGCCTGCACTTATCTCTCTCTCTGCTCTCTTCCCTCTCTCCTGTCTCCTGTGTGTGTTGCAGGCCGCGCTCCTCGCTGCCCCCTACAGGTCGGACTTCCTGAAGGCCCTGTCCAAAGGCGAGGAGGTGGCGGAGGAGGAGGTCCTGGTGAACGTGCGGCGGTTCCTGGTGAACTTCTCCGTCACCGTGGACGCCATCTACGACATGTTCACGAGTCTGAACGCCGAGCTGGACTACGCCGTCTGACAGTTTCCACGGCGACAGACCCCCTGCTGTTTATTCTTTAATGTGTGCCTTAGAAATCCCCAGGAGACAGAGAAACAGACTGATCACACCAGCTCTGCTCTGCTCTACAATACTCTAGTCTATTCTACTCTTCTCTCCTACTCTACTGTACTCTACTCTACCTGATTATGTTTCCATTACGCTTAAGTATCTGGTACCGTATCCTAGAAGCAGATCTATAACAAACCAGTATCCAGGGAAATTCCTTGGTAACCCTGTCTTCCAGCAGCACTCTGGCCAATCACTGTCAGTTAGAACACTTTAGTTCAGTGGTGGGCAAACCCCGGCCCGTGGGCCAGATGCGGCCCTTTGGATGCTTCTATCAGGCCCCTGAGCCCTCCTCAATTTATATAGATTAAGATTAAGATCAAGTGAGATTAGGATTAAGAACATTTATTCATTCCACAGTGGGGTGATTTCAGTTGAAACATCATACAGTCCCCCCTCTGTGCTGTGTGCAGAGCCATTTTTGTATACAAACAATACAATTATGTTTCAAAATGAAGCCTGAGAAAAACATTGGAATATCAGACGGCTGTCGGGATCCGGACCTAATTTCCACTGTGGCCCTCTGGAGGAAAAGTTTGCCCATGTCTGCTTTAGTTCCAGCTCGGTCTGGATAGAACCAGGACCAAGAGGGACTTAAGAAGGACCTGGTACTGGTTACACAGGACCAGAGGACACACTCACTATCAGGAGAGAGTCGAGTCGAGTCTGAGCTGGACTACACAGTCTGTTGTTTCCTCAATAGTTTTTTGTACTTAAAATATTGCGATATTTATTCATTGACGTGTGCCTTAAGAATCATGTACAGTTGACCCACCATAAACTCATTAGTACCATGTGTACCATGAGACTGAGCAGGACTGTGTTTAAACCATGTGTGACTGTGTTTGAACCATAAGAGCTGTGTGACATCACCAGTGTTAGCCTTAAACGCCGATTTGAACATAAGCTGGAGCCCATGTCCTTATATGCAATTATCACAGTGACTGAATCAAAGAGGAGAGAAACCAGGACCATCGACCAGGACCATCAACCAGGACCAGGACGATGAACCGGGACCAGGGGCTGTTTGACTCTCACACACCTGGGATTCGGTCCAGAAGTTCAACCTGATTCTTCTCCAAATCCAAAGTCTGTTTAGAGATTTTAATTAGATTCTAACAGTTTTTAATGATGTTTTGTGTTTTATTCTCTGGTGTTTTCAACCAGTGATGTGTAATAATGTGTATTTATTAAGTTACAATTAAACAGCAATTGTATAAATATGTTGTATGTGTTTGTTTACCAGTATCCAGGTCTCTCTCTCTGGTCTCTCTTTCTAGTCTCTTTCTGGTCTCTCTCTCTGGTCTCATTCTGTTCTCTCTCTCTGGTCTCTTTCTCTTTGGCCTCTCTCTGTAAATAGAGTAGAGTAGAGCTGGTGTAAACAGCTTTTATCCACCGAGAAGAGCCTTCCTAAACTAAACTCAAAAGTCTTTATACAGATTGACCACTAGAGGGCGTCAGCACTCCAACACCAATGCCCGTCTCAATAAATTGTCAATGTAAAACAATTACAGCTCTGACTTGGCCTAAAGCTCTTTCTATTGAATATTTAACCTCGGTCTCTCTGAAAACTGTCCACCACCAGAGCCAAGTTTATATATTGCTTCAACAGCTTTACTTCCCTCTCATCCATCTCCTAATCCCTCACATCAGGCAGCCTTTTGCTCTGCCCAGTCCTACTTATCTGGAGTGTGTCCTGGGGCTATCGTCTGTGTGTGTGTGTGTGTGTCTCAGATCCAGGACCAGTGAGACCAGCGCTGAACTCACTGCCCCATTTATTCTTCATTCTCTGGTCTCTCTCTGTTTTTTCTCTCTCTCTCTCTGGTCTCTCTCACTGGCGTCTCTCTCGCTTCTCTAGTTTACACGTTTCATTAATGATATAAATCACTACCAGATTATTCTCTGCACGTTCCTTATTAACAGAGGAATCTACAGCAGCTCCGACTGTATTTGAGGGACTAAAGCTGTGGATCCAGGACTGAGGCTGTAGACCCAAGACTGAGGCTGTAGTCCCAGAACTTAGACCCAGGACTGAGGCTGTAGACCCAGGACTGAAGCTGTAGATCCAGGACTGAGGCTGTAGACCCAGGACTGAGGCTGTAGACCCAGGACTGAGGCTGTAGACCCAGGACTGAGGCTGTGGACCTAGGACTGAGGCTGTAGACCCAGGACTGAGGCTGTAGACCCAGGACTGAGGCTGTGGACCCAGGACTGAGGCTGTGAACCCAGGACTGAGGCTGTAGATCCAGGACTGAACCTCTTGAAGCACTCCTTGTCCTGTATAAATCTCTATTCGAACCGCATCTAAACTACTGTAACACAATATGGAGCAACACGTACCCTAGCTATTTAGACAAAATACATATTCTTCAAAAAAAAAGTAATTAGAGTCATAACATGGTCTGATTACAACGCTCCCTCAAATCCACTATTTTACAGGTTGAAGCTTCTGAAACTTATTGAGAGTAACATTCTATACAATGCTTGTATGATGTATAATGTTGTGTATAAACTAAATGATCGCCTCTGTCAGCTCATTCCTATCTCTACTTCTACACACACACACGACACTAGAAGGAAACACTGGCTGAAGGGCAAACGCCGCAAACTCAAATGTACCAGTTTTAGTATCACCTGCAAAGGTCCAAACATCTGGAATGAGCTGGACAGTCCTATTACTCAATCAAAATCATTGAGAACCTTTAAAAAAAGATTGAAACACAGTTTGCTCCAACATTATACAACATTATGAGCCCTGCGCTGAAAACTGTAAACGGGTAAAGAAACTTGTAATGTACTGTATTTATTGTTTTGTTCCTGTATCATGGATGAAGTGAATTATTATGTGGCACATTTGCTGTGTTAATATCAATGTGTAAAAAGTTACTGTACTATGACTAAGACCAATCTATTGGAAAATGAACCGAATAACTGAGACTGCAACTGTGGGGACCTATAGATGGGTGGGGTGTTTGTAAGTGGGTTTTGGGATTGTGTAGTAGTATGGAATGTTACACTTGTTTCTGCTGTGTTGTTTTATGTGTTATGTGTTATGTGTGTCATGTGTTGTTTTTGGGACCCCGTCTATAAGCTAATGCAGCTTCCTGGGAGTTCCCTTTTTACAAAACACCAACCAACACTTCATTGTAAAAGTGTATAACCAATATGGCTACGAGTTTTGTAAATAAAAGAATTGAATTGAATTGACTGAGGCTGTAGACCCAGGACTGAGGCTGTAGATCCAGGACTGAGGCTGTAGACCCAGGACTGAGGCTGTAGACCCAGGACTGAGGCTGTAGATCCAGGACTGAGGCTGTACTGTAGACCCAGGACTGAGGCTGTAGACCCAGGACTGAGGCTGTAGATCCAGGACTGAGGCTGTAGACCCAGGACTGAGGCTGTAGATCCAGGACTGAGGCTGTAGACCCAGGACTGAGGCTGTAGACCCAGGACTGAGGCTGTACTGTAGATCCAGGACTGAGGCTGTGGACCCACAGGACTGAGGCTGTGAACGCATTTGAGTTTGCGGCGTTTGCCCTTCAGCCAGTGTTTCCTTCTAGTGTCGCGGCACGGTGGCTGAGTGGATAGCACTCTCGCCTCTCAGCAAGAAGGTCCTGGGTTCAAATCCCGGTTGGACCAGGGCCTTTCTGAGTGGAGTTTGCATGTTCTCCCCGTGTCTGCGTAGGTTTCCTCCGGGTGCTCCGGTTTCCCCTACCACTAAAAATATGTACAATAGGTCTGGCATGTGCCTCCTGTACTGGCACCCCCACTCCCAAAAAAATAACAATTGTAATCCGCTTTGAGACTCCGATGTGCAGTGAAAAGGCGGTAAATAAAAGCTTACTTACTTACCCAGGACTGAGGCTGTAGACCCAGGACTGAGGCTGTGGACCCAGGACTGAGGCTGTAGATCCAGGTTTATAACTTCAAAATCTCATCAGCAGAAAAACAAAGGAGAACACAAGATTTCGGTTATAAAAATGTTTACTGAGAATCCGTTTTAGGAAATGGGTCAAACATGATTTACACAGACTCAAAGACACAGTTCACACATGTCCGTATAATAATTGCACTTTATAATCGTAGGGATGACACACTTGGACAAACCCAGTGCAGACATACAGCAGTCAGACCAGTCCGCTGCAGAGATAACAGCCGTCACCATGACAACGGTAAGTATAGTGGGAAATCACTACTAACAACATGAGGAACTGAAACACACTGGACACACAGGCATCGTCCAGATAAGGACCCAGACGCTCATAAATTAGATTTTTAAAAACTTTCCTCTCTCTTTATCCTCCAATCCGCTCCCTCACCCCTCCCTCACCCCCTCCCTCACCCCCTCCCTCACCCCCTCCCTCACCCCCTCCCTCACCCCCTCCCTCACCTGGGAAAACTGCAGACTGTGGCTGTGTTTGATTTGGCTGAGCTCTTCTCCAGCAGTTTGGATTCACTTTTAATGTAACTATTATCTATGTATTTCATTACATTAATAAATAGAGTAGAGTAGAGTAGAGTAGAGCAGAGCAGAGCAGAGCAGAGCAGAGCAGAGCAGAGTAGAGTAGAGTAGAGTAGAGTAGAGTAGAGCAGAGCAGAGCAGAGCAGAGCAGAGTAGAGTAGAGTAGAGTAGAGTAGAGTAGAGCAGAGCAGAGCAGAGCAGAGCAGAGCAGAGCAGAGCAGAGTAGAGTAGAGTAGAGTAGAGTAGAGTGCCGAGTGATTTGAATGAATGAACCATGGGGAAAACTGTTTGAGGCTAAAAACCTGACGTTTTAAAAGTAATGATTTTGCACAGATCAGATTTTGTGGATATTTACAAACAGGAAAAGTCCAAAAGAAGAAGAGGCTTTGATGGAAACCCAGACTCGACTGAACTGAGGCAGGGGCGTATCAACATCATTTAATCATGAACCTTTGAGCTTGATGAACTGTGCTATACGGATAAACTTGCCTCGTTTGTAACTTCAGTCAGGAGCCAGGAGCAGTTCACAGTCTCAGTCCTGGGTCTACAGCCTCAGTCTTGGATCTACAGCCTCAGTCCTGGGTCTGCAGCCTCAGTCCTGGGTCTACAGCCTCAGTCCTGGGTCTACAGCCTCAGTCTTGGATCTACAGCCTCAGTCCTGGGTCTACAGCCTCAGTCCTGGATCTACAGCCTCAGTCCTGGGTCTACAGCCTCAGTCCTGGGTCTACAGCCTCAGTCCTGGGTCTACAGACTGAGTCCTGGGTCTACAGCCTCAGTCCTGGGTCTACAGCCTCAGTCCCGGGTTTACAGCCTCAGTCCCGGGTCTACAGCCTCAGTCCTGGACCGGGAGTTGCAGGTAGCCGTGTGGATGGTGGTGCAGCAGCAGAGGGACCCCCACGGCCCGGTACCCTCGGCCCAGCATGCGCTCTTTGATGCAGGGGGGCTGGATCTCACTGATGAGGCTCTCCAGACTCTGCAGGCTGCTGCTGAGGACGCTGGCATGGCAGAGGCTGGACGTGGGCAGCCCCCCGGTCAGGCTCTGGTCCCCGCTATAGGCCAGGTGGCTGTGGAGGCCGGGGTGGTGGGTCTGATGGTGCTGACAGGGGTGGAGGGTGGACTGAGGCAGGTCTCTGGGTCGGACAGAGCAGACCCCAGAGGCCAACAGCTGTGAGTGATAGTTATTGTCACTGTTTGGAGCAGACTCGATGCAGCTGGATGTGATGTTGTTGTCCCAGAGAGGAGCGAGGAACGGTCCTGTGGAGAATGTAGTATACAGTTAATAACGCCGCCTTTTCTTCAAGACTTAAAAGGTTCTAATAATAAGACACTGCCAAAAGTGATAAAAAAAATTATGTATAAATTACTTGAATTGAGTGGTTTCAAAACAATTTAGTCTTAATTCAAGGACTGTTGCTTTATTTTCTCTTTTTAAAACAAGATCATTTTGCTTTTTCCCATTGGCAAATATTGTTTAAAGACCAGACCAGGACTAGCCTGGCCTTATCCATCCGTACACTCAGGTAAATCATCCTTTCCTGCATGTAAAATCTGGGTCTGGTCCCTGTGTTTGTGATCGGTTGAATTCCATCCGACCAATCAGAGAGCACGGGAGGCGGGTGTTGTAGTTAGATGTGGGTGACGTCAACAATTTGCGCCAAGAAATTGAAGCCAGAGCAAGAGGAATGTTTAGCAAATGTAATCGCTGGAAAAGATTGTGGCGCTACTCCCCACGAGCTCCGTTAGCGGCAAAGGAGAGGGTTAAAGCTAGGCTAAATGCTAAAGCTAGGCTAAATGCTAAATGCCTCACTCACTCAGGCTCATTACATACGTCACGGTAAACTTAGATCCAATCGTTTCAATCTTCAAAATGAGTTAACCCCTTCCACCTGCAAATCCAGAGCTTAGTAAGAAATGTATTTTGTACTATGGTGTGGTACGACCAGGCTAGACCATGACCATACCCGGACTTTTTTAAAGCAGTCAGAATGTGCTCATTTAAAGATACATTTTGCCAAACTTGACAAATTTTTGACTTATTTTTGTTCACTTTTTGCAGTGTAGTCTTGCGCACATACCCGACATGTTTGGGCGATAGACTTCCTCCTTCGTCAGAGATGCTGTGGAGAAATCCCCGAGTGTGCAGCTCACTCTGTCCTGCACTGCGCCTGGAGGATGCCGCATGTACTGCAGCTGAGACACGGGGTACGCTAACGACATCACGCTCTCCGGAGACTGTCCAATCAGAGTCCCCGAACCAGCCAGAGTCCCAGCTCCAGCCCGAGACCCAGAACCAGCCAGAGTCCCAGCTCCAGCCTGGTACATCCACATCCCTCTCTGCTGCTGCTGCTGCCTGTGCTCCGCCCCGCTCTGAGGCGCCACAGCTGGCTGCACAGAGGGGCTGGCTCGGGCCTCTCCTCCCAGCTGCAGCGGCGCTCGGTGAGGGTTTTTGCTCATCTGTCTTATCAGACTTTGAACCTGCGCCAGCTCCTGCTGTGGAACGAGACAGGACCCCCCCGAGAGCACCCTGGTCCCGCCCTCAGAGGCCTTACACGAGCTGCTGTGATAAGCCTTGTGTCTGTAGCCGTGGCTTATGCTGTTGTACGGCGCCATGTTTGTCTGTCCACTTAAATGTTTAGTCCTCTTTCCCTCTGAGCTCTTCACCACTGCTCTGACGCTCACCGAGGCTTTGACCACGGCGAGCAGACCCTGATGGCCTCCAGAGCGGTTGTAGGAGCAGGAGCTGGTGGTGTCCAGGCCGTTGATGGTTTTGTTTAACTGTTTGTGTTGAGGAACGCGGACCTCATTCTGAAAGATCTTGATGCTCAGAGGGCTCCTGGAGGTCTTCTGGGCGAACGCATCCAGCTCGGCGGTGGAGGGGTACCGCGAGGCCAGGGACGCGGCGCCACCTGGAGGGAAGAAAGAACTCGTGGTCAAGGTGAAACTAAGTGTAGAATAGAGAAAGCACATGTAATCATTGCTTCTGCTAATGTTTCTGGTTACAATTCATTATATTGCACCATAAGTTTGAACATATGAGCTCCACATGAGCTTTCTCTAGTGCGGAGCTCATTTAGACACAGGAGAGTCGCTGCTCCTCAACATGCAGAGGAGCCAGTGGAGGTGGCTCATCTGTTTGGGATGCCTCCTGGTCTCCTCCCTGAGGAGGTGTTCTGGACATGTCCCACAAAGAGGAAACCAGTGAAAGATCCAGGACACAGAGGGAAAGTGGCTCTCAGCTGGTAACGCCTTAGGATTCCCCCAGATGAGCTGTCTCTGCTCACACTGCTGCCCCCACGACCCAGCAACAGATAAAGCGATAGTGATGAGAGTCATTGGTGAAGAACAACACTGTTGTGCAGGAAAATCAAAACAATCAAAACACTTCATGTTGATTTCAATGACAAACCTGAGCCGTGGGAGGAGAAGGAGGAGGAAGAGGAGGAGGAAGAGGAAGAGGAAGAGGAGGAAGAAGAGGAAGAGAAAGAGAAAGAGAAAGAGAAAGAGAAAGAGAAAGAGGAAGAGGGGGAGGAGGAGGAAGAGGAGGAGGGGAGGGGGTCGTTCAAGTTTGAAATTGATTTGGGAGTTAATTTCATTTCTTTTCATTTCTCATTGACACTGAGCCTCAAACTGTGAAAATGACTAATTCTAAAAAATCCACCTCATGGAGAAAATAAATTGGGTGTTTAAAAACGGAGGAGAACTGAGATAGAGCCATTCAATCCATGCAGTCTCCCGACGGAGCCACCGCGGCTCCAGGAGCTGAAACCACTCTGGCACTGAGAACAGCCTCTGAGCTGTTTGTACTGTATACAACACCAAGATGGAGTCTGACACTCTGAGCTGTTTGTACTGGCTACAACAGCAAGATGGAGTCTGACCCCCTGAGCTGTTTGTACTGTATACAACACCAAGATGGAGACTGACACTCTGAGTTGTCTGTGTCACTCCCGTATTCGTCCCGGAAACCGGATTTGTCCGGAAGTTCAGTTTGCGCATGTCAAAAAGTTTAATATGTCCTTAAGTGGTGACTGGTTAAGTCTTAAGGTTAGGGTTAAGGCTGGATTGGGGTTATTTTATGGGAATGGCTGGTTAAGTTTAGGCATGAATAGGTAGTTTTTTATATTTACTTCCGCTTCCGTCCAGATTCCGTGACGTAATCTACTGCTGCGTATGCTCATTGGATCAAAGTGAACTTCCGGACGAATCCGGTTTCCGGGACGAATACGGGAGTGACAGTCTGTACTGTGTAAAACACCAAGATGGAGTCTGATCCCCCATCTCAGAGTTGGGAGTGGTCTGGGCTTTGATTGACAGCTCGCTTGTCACACAATAAAAACAGATGCACGTCACACACCAACTGACGTCACACTGCACTCCAGAGCCAATGAGAAGCCAGGACCAAATTCAAATGTAGTGCCACCAAAAAGGTAGAGCGGACGCCAACGAGATGATTTCAGGCTCAAAATTGCACTAAATTTGCACTCAAATGTCAAAAAAGATGACCAGGACATGTAGAGTGCACATGAGAAACATATTTATGCAGTTTTAAAAAGTTGATTTGGTGTTTAGACTACTGTTTAACTACTAAATACAATGGCACAATGAGTACACACAACAGCACACGTACACACAACAGCACAGGACGTACACACAACAGCACAGAACGTACACACAACAGCACAGAACGTACACACAACAGCACAGGACGTACACACAACAGACAACAGTGCAGGTTGAAGTGACAAATACTATAGTCTTTTTCCTGCAGTGAAACCGTGACTCATCACCAGAGGAACATCTCGCTCTCGTCTGCGCCTGGCATTTTGGACATCTTCTTTTGAGGTAAATGTCAAGAGTCTGTGTGACTGGCGGGGCATCAAAGTGCGGCCCGAAGGTCACACACGGCCTGTTCCACGTGTCTGTGTGGCCCTCGCATTGTTCCCCTTTCACACACTTTATATCGTCTCCCTCTATTTACATGAATAAGATGGCATGTTATACCTCATAATAATGTATCAAACACATTCATCTGTCCACAATAGTTAGCCTTGTTTAGCTTGCAGTTTGCAGATTTGAAAAAAATGACAGACAACCGATAAATCCAAGCCATATTCAATAAAAAATGGCTGCGAGTGGTCCCGCCCACAAGAAAATTGTGAAAACGCATCTGCGCATGCGTCAGCCGGCGAGAGCTCCATTCATTTGAACAAGAGACTTCAAAAATTCACAGCGAGTAAACTAGAGTGGACCAAAAAAATCCACCCCCCTCAGCATTGACACACATGTGGAACGGAGCTTTGGGCCAAGAGCCAACTTTTGGACCATCCTGTAAAGACGTTTTTGAGAGGTCAGCAAATGCTATATGTTAGCATTGGCTAATTCTTATCCCGGGTCCACCCCAGTGGGGGCGGGTATCGGCTCAAAAGTGGCCAAAATGACGTGCGCTGACATGCTGCAATACCACCCCGGGCCGATGGGGGTGGACCCAGAAGAAGAATTAGCCAATGCTAACATATGGCATTGGCAGACCTCTCAAAGATTCACCAAAAGTTGTCTCTTGGCCCAAAGCTCCGTTCCACATGTGTGTCAATGCTGAGGGGGGTGGATTTTTTTGGTCCACTCCAGTTTACTCGCAGTGAATTTTTGAAGTCTCTCGTTCAAATGAATGGAGCCGCGCCGGCTGACGCATGCGCAGATGCGTTTTTTCACAATTTTCTTGTGGGCGGGACCACTCGCGGCCATCTTGGATAGCTCCAGTAGAGCACATTTTTTGGCCCATTAGTTAGAACGGCGGAGATAGGCGTGACTCTGTCCGTTAATATAAACAGTCTATGGTCCACCCCCATCGGCCCGGGGTGGTATTGCAGCATGTCAGTGCACGTCATTTTGGCCACTTTTGAGCCGGGACCCTCCACCACTAATCTGTATACAGTCTGTTTTAGCGTTGTCCATCTGTATACAGTCTGTTTTAGCGTTGTCCATCTGTATACAGTCTGTTTTAGCGTTGTCCATCCGTATACAGTCTGTTTTAGCGTTGTCCATCCGTATACAGTCTGTGTTAGCATTGTCCATCTGTATACAGTCTGTGTTAGCATTGTCCATCTCTAACACATGTACACATTCTGAACTACAGAGATTTTCCTGGTATGCTATTGTTAATCCAATTTGCATAGCGTGTTTCATTCCCAATTGTTTTCCGTCAAAACCATAACTCTCTTGCTGCTAAAGACTGCGTAAATGGAAAGTTCCGGAGCGGTCAAGGCCGCAGCACTCGGCTAATGGTGTGCAGCGAGGTGCTACGTGCTGCAGGGTGATTAAGTGCTTAAGGTCAGGCTGCTAATTGTCTCCGCTCCTCTCTTTACCTTGACAGAGCAGCTGCCATTTGCCGGTTGTCATGTCAACGCTCTCGTTTTGGTTTTCGCTGCTATATTTTGTGCGTGTTGTGCTTCCGTCAAGTGTGAACCACAGACACTTTTTAAATCTGGACTGAAGAATGAGATTGAATTCTAGTTTCTCATATTCTAAACTGTATATGACACACACGTATAGATCCATACATATACAAACGTGATGATACCACAGTGTTGCGATACTTGGGCAGAAATTAAATATTATTGTGATTTGATTCAAAATCTCTGTGGTCTCCCTTTCTGGTGGCTCTCTCTCTCTCTGTCTCTGCTCACTCCCCCTTTCTCCTTTCTCTGTCTCTCTCCCTCGCTGTTCTCTCTTCTCTCTTTCCTCTCCCTCTCCTCTCTACTCTCTAGTATCTCCTCTCTCCCTCTAACTTTCGGCTTTTTCTCTCCTCTGTCTCGCTCTGCTCTATCCTCTCTTTATTCTCTCTCTCACTCACTCCTCTCCCTCTCTTTTCTCTCCTGTCTCTCCTCTCTCACCTCTTTCTCTTCTCTCCCTCTCTCCTCTCCCTTGACCCCTGCTCTCTTTCTGTTCTCTCTCTGCTCTCTCCTCTCTCTTTCTTCTTTCTATCCCTCTTTCTCTGCTCTCTCCTTGCTCTGCTCTCTATCCCTCTCTCTCTGCTCTCTCCTCGCTCTGCTCCCTCTATCTCTGTTCTCTGTACCCTTCTCTCTGCTCTCTCTCTCCTCTCTCTCTCCTCTCTCTCTCTCTCTCTCTCTCTCTCTCCCCCTCTCTCTCTCTCTCTCTCTGATAGCTTGAACTCTCTCTTTACTCTGCTCCTCTAAGTCTTTCTCCCGGTCGGGTGGAGGCGGTCCACATTAAACATTATGTAGAAACCCAGTGACCTCCCGCTGTGAGGACCTGGCACGCTTTCACAGGAAACACCTAATCCTCATTTCCTGCCTCCAGCCGAGAGACGCAAGCCCAGGAGGAGGCGCAGGCCCAGCAGGAGGCTCAGGTCCAGCACAAACCCTGCAGGGACCGGTGGCTGTGTGTGCCGTGTATGCGCATTAGCATCACGGCTCAGGCAGAGAGGCTTATAAACACCGACTTTGAGGTAATTGGGGAATAATACACTGCTTATTTATAATACAGCCTTAAACACAGGGCCTCTCCCCACCCCCATGCATTCTAGTCCCACTTGGAGGTTTCTGTGGCTTTAATCTGTTCCCCGTGGCCAAACTCACAGCCATTTCTTCCAAAACTAGAGCAGAAACCTCATTGTTTTAAGGCAGTATGGAGCTAATCACTAATTTATGAGCAAAACAAACCCAGGGGCAGGACTGAAAACAAAAGTGGAACCAGAACAGTGGCTTTCCTTAAACTTCTAGCTTTGAACATTTGCATACGCCTCTGGTCTCTCTCTGGTCTCTCTCTGGTCTCTCTCTCTGGTCTCTTTCTCTGGTCTCTCTCTGATCTCCATCTGGTCTCTCTCTGCTCTCTCTGGTCTCTCTCTGGGTTCTCTCTGGTCTCTATCTGGTCTCTCTCTGGTCTCTTTTTAGTCTCTTTCTGAAATCCCTTTTCTCTCTCTGGTCTGTCCTTAGGCTCTCTCTTTGGTCTCTCTCCTCTATCTGCTCTCTTTCTAGTCTCTCCCTTTTCTCTCTCCCAAGACTGGAGCAGAAACCTCATTGTTTTAAGGTGGTATGGAGCTAATCACTAATTTATGAGCAAAACAAACCCAGGGGCAGGACTGAAAACAGAAGTGGAACCAGAACAGTGGCTTTCCTTAAACTTCCAGCTTTGAACATTTGCATACGCCTCTGGTCTCTCTCTGCTCTCTCTCTGGTCTCTCACTGGTCTCTCACTGGTCTCTCTCTGGTCTCTCTCTGGTCTCTCTCTGGTCTCTCTCTTGGTGTTCTCTAGTAAGTAAGTAAGTAATCTTTATTTATATACCGCCTTTTCACTGCACATCGGAGTCTCAAAGCGGTTTACAATTGTTATTTTTGGGAGTGGGGGTGCCAGTACAGGAGGCACATGCCAGACCTATTGTACATATTTTTAGTGGTAGGGGAAACCGGAGCACCTGGAGGAAACCTACGCAGACACGGGGAGAACATGCAAACTCCACTCAGAAAGGCCCTGGTCCAACCGGGACTCGAACCCAGGACCTTCTTGCTGAGAGGCGAGAGTGGCTCTCTCTGGTCTCTCTCTCTCTGCTCCCCTCCAGGGCGAGCGAGCATAAGGAACAAATTACAATGGCCGCCAGATATGATCCTCCAGAGATAAACGCAGATTCATGAATAATGCCGGCTCATCTACATACATGTGCTCTGCGTCTCGGGCTTCGGGCTCGTGCCGCTTTGATCTTGGGCCAAAACTTATGCTTCGCTCTTGGAGAGAACATAGTCTGATATAGACTCTCTATATCTTAGGACTGGTCTCTCTCTCTGGTCTCTCTCTAGCCTCTCTGGTCTCTCTCTGGTCTCTCTCTCTGGTCTCTCTCTGGTCTCTCTCTGGTCTCTCTCTGGTCTCTCTCTCTGGTCTCTCTCTCTGGTCTCTCTCTGGTCTCTCTCTCTGGTCTCTCTCTAGCCTCTCTGGTCTCTCTCTGGTCTCTCTCTCTGGTCTCTCTCTGGTCTCTCTCTGGTCTCTCTCTGGTCTCTCTCTAGCCTCTCTGGTCTCTCTCTGGTCTCTCTCTCTGGTCTCTCTCGGTCTCTCTCTGGTCTCTCTCTGGTCTCTCTCTCTGGTCTCTCTCTCTGGTCTCTCTCTGGTCTCTCTCTCTGGTCTCTCTCTCTCAGGCACAGGGGTCCTTCTGTTCCAGCGTTTAGCCGACAACCGCTCCACTGATTCTCAATTAATATTTAATAACCTTCGGACAAAGAGCTGTTTCACTGTGGGAGAAAAAGGAGGAAGGGAGAGATTTTCAGAAATGAATAAAAATAGATTCTGGTGTACAGTATAATATAGAATCGTCACAAACTGATGGCACCAGCCTCAAGAGTAGGGATGGGACCAGAGAGAGAGACCAGAGAGAGAGACCAGAGAGAGAGATACCAGAGAGAGACCAGCAAGAGATACCAGAGAGAGACCAGAGAGAGAGATAAGAGAGAGACCAGAGAGAGACACCAGAGAGAGAGAGACACCAGAGATAGACTCCAGAGAGAATGACGTCAGAGAGAGAGACGCCAGAGAGACCAGAGAGAGACCAAAGAGGGAGAGACCAGAGAGAGAGAGAGACCAGAAAAACAGACCAAAGAGAGAGTAGAGAGGGACAAGAAAGAGACCAGAGCGAGAGAGAGACCAGAGAGAATTTGCACACGTTTGGAGGCTCCGCATGAACATATATAATGGTCCCTAATTGTCAGTTTTCACGGACAGCTGGGCCTGGATTATGCTAATGCTCACAGGTGCGTTAGCTAACTGCTGCTGAGAGACTTCCCGTTGTGGAGAACGAGGCTAAATCTAGCGCCGCAGTCTGAGGACGATGTCATTCAGAGTCGAGATCAATAAGGAAGTGTCGAGACTGAAGTGAGAGATTATTCACTGTGAAATGGTTATGAGTAAACTGTAAAAGCAAAACTATCACAGTATTTTGCATCACTATGTTTATGGCCTCTCTCTTTCTCTGGTGACTTTCTCTAATCTCTTTTTCAGGTCTCTCGCTCTCTCTGGTCTCCCTCTCTCTGGTCTCCCTCTCTCTGGTCTCTCGCTCTCTCTGGTCTCCCTCTCTCTGGTCTCTCGCTCTCTCTGGTCTCCCTCTCTCTGGTCTCTCTCTCTCTGGTCTCTCGCTCTCTCTGGTCTCCCTCTCTCTGGTCTCTCGCTCTCTCTGGTCTCCCTCTCTCTGGTCTCCCTCTCTCTGGTCTCTCGCTCTCTCTGGTCTCCCTCTCTCTGGTCTCTCGCTCTCTCTGGTCTCCCTCTCTCTGGTCTCTCTCTCTCTGGTCTCTCGCTCTCTCTGGTCTCCCTCTCTCTGGTCTCCCGCTCTCTCTGGTCTCTCTCTCTCTGGTCTCTCTCTCTCTCTGGTCTCCCTCTCTCTGGTCTCTCTCTCTCTCTGGTCTCTCTCTCTCTCTGGTCTCCCCCTTTCTCTGGTCTCTCTCTCTCTCTGGTCTCTCTCTCTCTCTGGTCTCCCTCTCTCTGGTCTCCCTCTCTCTGGTCTCTCTCTCTCTCTGGTCTCCCTCTCTCTGGTCTCTCTCTCTCTCTAGTCTCCCTCTCTCTGGTCTCTCGCTCTCTCTGGTCTCCCTCTCTCTGGTCTCTCGCTCTCTCTGGTCTCCCTCTCTCTGGTCTCTCTCTCTCTCTGGTCTCCCTCTCTCTGGTCTCTCTCTCTCTCTCTGGTCTCCCTCTCTCTGGTCTCCCTCTCTCTGGTCTCTCTCTCTCTCTGGTCTCCCTCTCTCTGGTCTCTCTCTCTCTCTGGTCTCCCTCTCTCTGGTCTCTCTCTCTCTCTGGTCTCCCTCTCTCTGGTCTCTCTCTCTCTCTGGTCTCCCTCTCTCTGGTCTCTCTCTCTCTCTCTCTGGTCTCCCTCTCTCTGGTCTCTCGCTCTCTCTGGTTCCCTCTTGTATTGACAGATTCTGAGTAAAACAGGGCTCACCTTTGGAGACGCCAAGCTGTGGTTGTGGCTGTGGTGCCGGCAGCAGCTGTGGCACCGGCAGCAGCTGTGGCACCGGCAGCAGCTGTGGCGCCGGCAGCAGCTGTGGCGCCGGCAGCAGCTGTGGCGGTGTGGCGGCCATGACACTTTTGGCCGAGCAGGTCACATGGTGCGAGGGGAAGTTCTGTCGTCTTTGGATACACGCCAGCATGATGGATGTTTACGGCTGCTCAGAGCCTGCTCCAACCTGCGAGAGGGAAGAAACATCATGTCTCTGTGGTCTCTGTGGTCTCTCTCTCTCTGGTATCGCTCTGGTCTCTCTCTCTCTCTGGTATCGCTCTGGTCTCTCTCTCTCACGCTGGTCTTTCTCTCGGTCTCTGGCCTCTCCTTCCTTGGTCTCTCTCTCATCTCTCTCTCTGATCTCTCTCTCTCTGGTTTCTCTCTCTGGTCTCTCTCTCCCTCTGGTCTCTCCCTCTCTGCTCTGTCTCTGGTCTCCCTCTGCTCTCTCTCTGGTCTCTCTCTCTCTGGTTTCTCTCTCTGGTCTCTCTCTCTCTGGTTTCTCTCTCTGGTCTCTCGCTCTCTGGTCTCCCTGGTCTCTCTCTCTCTGCTCTCTCCCTCTCTGGTCTTTCTCTCTGCTCTCTCTCTGGTTTCTTTCTCTGGTCTCTCTTTCATCTCTCCCTCTGGCCTCGGTCTCTCCCTCTCTGGTTTCTCTCTCTGGTCTCCCTGGTCTCTCTCTCTGGTCCCTCCCTCTCTGCTCTCTCTCTCTCTGGAATCTCCCTCTCTGCTCTCTCTCTCTGGTCTCTCTCTGAGTAGTGAGAGAGTCCCATGGCCTTGTCCTGTTCCCATCCTGTCCTTTGGTTTCTCTCACACGCTTCATTCAGAGCCTTCTGTCGCCCGCGGCTCTGTTTCCATCCGTGAGCAGCTTTTGGAAGATAAATATTACATTGATTTATAAACTAGGCTGGTCTCTTGCCTGGTCTCTTGCCTGGTCTCTTGCCTGGTCTCCTGCCTGGTCTCTTGCCTGGTCCCCTGCCTGGTCTCCTGCCTGGTCTCTTGCCTGGTCTCCTGCCTGGTCTCTTGCCTGGTCTCTTGCCTGGTCTCTTGCCTGGTCTCCTGCCTGGTCTCTTGCCTGGTCTCTTGCCTGGTCTCTTGCCTGGTCTCCTGCCTGGTCTCTTGCCTGGTCTCCTGCCTGGTCTCCTGCCTGGTCTCCTGCCTGGTCTCCTGCCTGGTCTCCTGCCTGGTCTCCTGCCTGGTCTCCTGCCTGGTCTCTTGCCTGGTCTCTTGCCTGGTCTCTTGCCTGGTCTCTTGCCTGGTCTCCTGCCTGGTCTCTTGCCTGGTCTCCTGCCTGGTCTCCTGCCTGGTCTCTTGCCTGGTCTCCTGCCTGGTCTCTTGCCTGGTCTCCTGCCTGGTCTCCTGCCTGGTCTCCTGCCTGGTCTCCTGCCTGGTCTCCTGCCTGGTCTCCTGCCTGGTCTCCTGCCTGGTCTCTTGCCTGGTCTCCTGCCTGGTCTCCTGCCTGGTCTCCTGCCTGGTCTCCTGCCTGGTCTCCTGCCTGGTCTCTTGCCTGGTCTCCTGCCTGGTCTCCTGCCTGGTCTCCTGCCTGGTCTCCTGTCTTTCTCTCTACTCTTCCTCTCCATGGTCTTGTCTATCTCTGCAGTCTCTACACTCTCTCATTCTGGTATCTCCCTCTACTCTCCCACCGCTCTCTCGCTCTGCTCTCTCGCCGCCCTCTCCTTCTCTGCTCTCCCTCTCCATGGTTTTTACTCTCTCCAAGTCTCTACGCTCTCTCACTCTGGTCTCTCCCTCCGCTCTCTTTCTCTCTGCTCTGTCACTCTGGTCTCTCCCTCCGCTCTCTCTCTCTGCTCTGTCACTCTGGTCTCTCCCTCTCCTCTACCTCCGCTCTCCCTCTCTTTCTGCTCTCTCTCTCTCCGCAGTCTTATCTCTCTCCGCAATCTCTCCACGCTCTCTCACTCTGGTCTCTCTGCTCTCCCTCCGCTCTCTCTTTTTCTCTCTGCTCTCCCTCCGCTCTCTCTTTTTCTCTCTGCTCTCCCTCTCCATGGTCTCGTCTCTCTCCGCCCTCTCTCTGCTCTCCCTCTCCATGATTTCCACTCTCTACAAGTCTCTATGTTTTCTCACTCTGGTCTCTCCCTCCACTCTCTCTGCTCTACCACCGCCCTCTCTCTCTCTGCTCGCGCACTCTCTCTCTCTCTCTCTCTCTCTCTCTGTCTCTGCTCTCTTTCTCCACCGCTCCACATCTGAGCCTCGATAGCGTTTGATCCAAACACAGGGAAGTGAAAACTCTGCTACACTCTCTATTTGGGAAAAAAAGGCAATTTCAGAACAAGGTCCATTAGCAGACGCCAGGAGACTGTAATGCACCAACTTTAAGGAGACTCTCTTTTATTCACAGACAAAGAGGCGAGTTTTCTTTGGATCATACCATTGTGGAAAATAGACACAGTTAATAAAGAGGGAAGAAAGCAGGTACTAATACACAAGTTTACTTTGATATAATAATAATAATAATAATAATGCACGTTTTTATACAGTGCTATTCTGGATTCATTCACTCCAAACACAGTGAAAAACTACTGTAGCCACAGCTGCCCTGGGGCACACTGTCAGAAGTGAGGCAACCAGTCTGTGGCATCAGCCCCAGTTGAGGCAAATCTGCTCTCCTCTCTCTCCTCTCTTCTCCTCTCTCTCTTCTCTTCTCTCTCCTCTCTTCTCCTCTCTTCTCTTCTCTTCTCTCTCTTCTCTTCTCTCTCCTCTCTTCTCCTCTCTCTCTTCTCTTCTCTCCTCCTCTCTCTCTCCTCTTCTCTCTCTCCTCTTCTCTCTCCTCTCTTCTCCTCTCTCTCTTCTCTTCTCTCTCCTCCTCTCTCTCTTCTCTTCTCTTCTCTCTCCCCTTCTCTCTCCTCTCTCTCCTCTTCTCTCTCCTCTCTTCGCTCTCTCCACTTCTCTCTCCTCTCTTCGCTCTCTCCTCTTCTCTCTCCTCTCTTTTCTCCTCTCTTCTCTCTCTCCTCTTCTCTCTCCTCTCCCCACCTCTCTCTCCTCTCTTCTCTCTCCTCTCTTCTACTCTCCTCTCCTCTCCCCTCTGCTGTCCTCTCCTCACCTCACCTCTCCTCTACCCTCTCCTCTCTCTCCTCCCCTTTTCTCCTCCCTCTGCAAGCATGAGCAGAACAGACCAGAGGAGGTCATAAAGTGTAACTTTAATCTTCTGATCCTGTCTCTTTGGGCCACGTCCTGCAGCCGAGAATCAGCGAAGTCTGCAGTGAGTCTTCAGAGAGAGTCTGGGTCCGAGTCTGAGCCTGAGGTACTGTTTCCAAGGAGACGCTGCGTTAAAACGTTGGAGTTGGTATCGGTTTGGTCTTTCGTTTACATGAAGATGGTGTTGAATAAGAAGCCTGGTTGTTTTTGCTCATTTCTTTGCAGCGTCTGCGACTGAACAGGGCCTGAGTCTGTCTTCTGTCCCCTCTACTGCGCTGATAACACTGCTTTTAACTCCAACACACACACTTTCAACGGCTTTAAAACACATGCAGTGTCCTGGGATCAGCAGAGCAGTGTTTGAAGGAGATAAGCAGGTCGGTTGGAGTCACAAAGCTATGATAAAAACAAACAAAAGGGAAGAGCTGCAGGGAAACAGCAAACTGAGCAAACGTTAGCTGTTGGATAAGATCCTGAAGAGTGGCACTCCTCAAAAGATAATAACACTCATTATTTCTAAGACAAATACATTTGTAACGGCTCTGCGCAGGGCAAGAATTCAAGATGCTAACATGTATACATGGCTAACAGACTATATACAGATGGATAACGCTAACATAGACTGTATACAGATCATAGATCTATTATAATAACTGGATAGAGTATCACTAGATTGGAGCTGAAGAACTCATGTGCTCGGGGGATTCTCGCGGTACTGCAGACTGAACAAGACTAAATTCACATGGGCTACCCAGAAATTTTCACCATAGGACTCAAAGTAAACTAACAGAGAACCTGACAGAGAGCTTACAGCTTTAATAAAGGTCGGATTTTGTGGGGATTTTAGTGTCCCTTGTCATCCTGAACTTTTTTTCTTCTTAAATCCTTCGGTTTTGTTTAAATCCACACTTTAGTGCCACAAACTCTGCTCCTCTGGCTCTCGCCCTAACTCCCGCTCTGATGAACTGCTCTGATTGGTCAGAGCGCAGCCGAGCCCCTCTGTGCACGTGCGTGAGACCCGGTGTGAGACCCACACACGCGTGTTTGGTGCAACGCATTATGGGAGATTATCCACTGCGCAGAACCGGGAGGACCAGACGATGCCCAAATACAGGCGAGTTTCCCATAGATCTTTGCGAGTTCCAGGCGGAGTTCCACTAATCTTTCAGCCCGCGTGCCGGCACAAAGCGCCACTGAGCACAAACCATTCATTTGAATAGGACGCCATCTTGGATTGCTGGGGCTTGATACAGATGGACAATGCTAACACAGACTGTATACAGATGGACAATGCTAACACAGACTGTATACAGATGGACAATGCAACACTAAATAATAAAGATTACGTCTTCACAACAATACAAATAAACTTGCCTAATTGAAAATTATTTTAGGAGCCACTTAGTTTAGCCCAGTTTATACAGAAGCTAATTAGTTCAGTAGGTTCTGTAAATCCCCTGAACCTCGGGTAGAACACCTTGTTAAGGCTCCACACACCAGTCCTCTGTCGACTTGCAAATATAAATCTGCCTTTTCGAATTCTGAATGTTAACGGAGCTGAAACACGCGGTGTGGGTCCTACGTGAGCGTCTGAAGATTCATGGCTGAGAGAATCCATCAGGAGGAGATGACATTAATGTAGATGGATTCTCTCTGACCTTCTGAGGCAATTTGACAAGAACTGGCTTCTCGTTCCAAACTTCCACGCTCCCAGACAGACCAGGGACTAACTCAGAACTCCAGCTTTAACCACCGTCACTTCCCAATCTCCTCGGCTGCGAGAATTAGCAATCCTGGTTTCTTTTTAGCTCTATAACAGACAGCATATATACAAGTGATCTGGCCTTGCTTAGGTCTCAACGACTCTGATTGTGTATCCGTGTTTCTCTGATATGATCTTTTGATGTCTTGATGTGTGACGTAACATTGACTGTATAAAGCATATCCTAACTTTGTTCTGTCTGAAAAAACCTGAAAGAACTTGATAATAAACTTGTGATATTATAT